TCAGAAATTCAAATCTGACTTTAGATTTGACTTAAGATTTGACAATTGACCTTCAATGACCTTCTCAAAGTCAAAAAAGGTCAAAAAGGTCTTTTTTCAACTTGCTTCAAATTGACTAAATTTTTTTTTCAAAATCATCTACATGTTCTCAGAAATTCAAATCTGACTTTAGATTTGACATTTGACCTTCAATGACCTTCTCAATGTCAAAAAAGGTCAAAAAGGTATTTTTTCATCTTGCTTCAAATTGACTAAATTTTTTTTCAAAATCATCTACATGTTCTCAGAAATTCAAATATGACTTTAGATTTGACATTTGACCTTCAATGACCTTCTCAAGGTCAAAAAAGGTCAAAAAGGTCTTTTTTCAACTTGCTTCAAATTGACTAATTTTTTTTTTCAAAATCATCTACATGTTCTCAGAAATTCAAATCTGACTTTAGATTTGACATTTGACCTTTAATGACCTGCTCAAGGTCAAAAAGGTCAAAAAGATCTGTTTTCAACTTAGATTTGACTTAAGATTTGACTTTTGACCTTCAATGACCTTCTCAAAGTCAAAAAAGGTCAAAAAGGTCAAAAAGGTCTTTTTTCAACTTGCTTCAAATTGACTAATTTTTTTTTTCAAAATCATCTACATGTTCTCAGAAATTCAAATCTGACTTTAGATTTGACATTTGACCTTTAATGACCTTCTCAAAGTCAAAAAAGGTCAAAAAGGTCTTTTTTCAACTTGCTTCAAATTGACCAAATTTTTTTTTCAAAATCATCTACATCTTTTCAGAAGTTCTAATTTGACTTTACAAGTTCTCAGAAATTCAAATCTACTTAAGTTTGAACTCATAATATTGTGAGCAACTAGGTGGTGACATTTTGTCATGTTAATGCCTTGTATATTGATTGTGATGGTCATATGATTCTTGAAGGATTATTTTGCTTTGCTTGTTTATTGGATACATTATATATTGTTTGTTAGGAGGGTATATTATTTGTTGGGTATCATACATTGTTTATCTATTGTTTTGGGGTATTCTGTTTGTTTGATATATTGTTTGTAGGTATATTATATATTGTTTGTTCGGTATATTATTCATTGGGTATATGTTTGTTTGATATAACTATTAAGATCATTATATATTTTATATTTTATTTCCTCTTTTATTTTTCTCAAATCCTAACGTGAATACAAATTCGCTTCAGTTGTTGGATATTATCCCAATGCTACTCCATCAATGTATGTATCACATGCTCCCTGAAGGATTATGCCTATTGTTAAATGAAACAGATAGAACATACAATTCGCAGTAATCTCACATCTATGAAATCGTATTTCATATATTGGGTGACAGGTTTCATTGTTGCGCATACATGAATAATTGATGCATAGGGAACTACTGATATCATGCAATCATCAACAAACCTACAAGGGTTGCATGAGAAATGTCAAGACTCAATTTGGCGCATGAAAGAAATTATTCGAAAAAATTATATAATTATACCTCCGGAAGACCATATATGGTCAATGCAGAGATACTTTCCCGTAAATATCTTAGATCACGATTTCTAACTTATGTTTGTTTTCACAATGTGACCTATGTGACCTATCATCGTAATAATCAATTGAAATTAAATCATGGTTTACAAGAACTAGGCCTTTTAAATTGCTTATAATTACAACCAGTCATGAAATACCTAGATTGATTGATATAGACTCCTGGGGCCCCATGTTGTTACTTCATATAATATTTGTTATAAATAGCTCATAAATATTATGTTTATTGCTGTGTATCATATCTATGTTCATATTATATTTTTTTAGTGAAAACCATCTTAGTTATGTGAAAATCACTTTGATTATGTGAAAACCACCTTGTTTACGTATAATAGGACATATTTCATGTTAGAATATTTAGTGAAAGTCAGCCTTATAAAAGAACAGAGGATAAGGCCTATATGTGGCTGTAAGATTAGTATACATGTGTGGTCACTTCTGGGAAACATTAATTCATGAGATATGATGTATTATATCACCTATAATTCATATAAGATGATTATTGGAAATCTATATATGAAATATTACCATCATAAATGTGCCAATCTTGGGAATAAAGTGTCTAATTAACAGAATGTAGGAGCTAGAAGTGGTGATATATAATAGTGTGTTTGATAAATTCTGATCGAGTTCTAATATTATTGATTAGTTATTTGGATTGCACTCCATGCCATATACCTTCCCCCTGCAAAAATATTATTGGATTTCATTCAACAGCGATGTAATTGTGAACATTATTGAGCATGTCAATCATATTTTGATAAAACAATCCTTTTATCGTTCCATGGATTCACTACACAGTAATGCATGTTTTTTATAAGATTTAACCAGTAATAAAACATGTCCTTACTATTAGTAATGCATGGTTTGACCAGCAGAAATGTAAGACTTGACCAATTCACTAGTAGAAATACATTGGTTGACCAGCAGTAATATAAAACTTGACCAGAAGTAAAACATGTCTTTACTAGTAGTGATATATGGTTTGACCAGCAGTAATGCAAGACTTGACCAGTAGTAATACATGTCTTTACTAGAAGTAATATATGGTATGACCAGCAGTAATATAAGACTTGACCAGCAGTAATACCTGTCTTTACTTAGTAATGCATGGTTTGACCAGCAGTAATGCATGTCTTTACTGGTAAAAATGCATGGTTTGACCAGCAGTAATGTAAGACTTGCAGTAATACATTTCTTGACTATTACATGGTTTCACCAGTAGACCTGTGGTAATGCTTGTCTTTATGAGTAATAATGCATGGTTTGACTATACCTAATCATTCAGTAATGCATGACTTGACCATGCATCAAATAAACAAATCTAAATGTTCACTTCATGGTTAAATAGTTAATGTAAAATGTACATGTAGGATTTTAACAATGGCTTTAATGCAACTGAACTATCTCAAGGGGCTATTATCAACCTGACTCTAGACATGTTTAGTCATTACTCAATAGCAATTAAGACTCATTTGTAAAAGGGTCACATCTGAGTGGCAATTACTCCCATTAGCTTGAAATATATTACCATTGTTTCTACTCTGTATCTAATGTTGCATCTATATTCCAGGCTCCTCCTTGGAATAAGTCACAAATGACTTATCAAAGGACCTTCCCCCCCCCCCCCCGGTAGCTGGCTTTTGACAGTGGAAGGGTATCAACATTTTAAATGAAGATAAAACATTTTTGGGTCCTTATTTCAAAAATGTAACACATTGTGTCAAAAACTATGATTTCATTTTGAGAGAATGTTTTTGTTGATAATTCATTAAGCTTTAAAAGAGGAAAATAGCCGTTTATGTCTTATAATATGAAACTGGAAATATTTAAGAAATATAATGCATTCAAGCAGATTTTTTATTAGGTGCTCTTTGTATTTTTCCAATACAGTATAATTGTGTAACATAGAAAAAGATGGTCAGGATCACTAGACAGAATATCTTTAGGGAGAAATATGTAACTGAACAATATTTTATAATTTGCAGCTTTGATCCTGTAAATATAAATAATACTTCAGCTGTCAGCTGGTCAGGTGAACTGATCGATAAAACCTGTGGCAATGTGAAATATATGATACAATCTTACTGTATATAATACAAAATGCCAAGTGTAGGAATTTCTTGACTCAAAGCTTCTGATTCAGATGATAATACAGAAATATTTCATTCTATTCACACGAATAATATCACATTGTGAAGGTGCCACTGGCATTCATTGTAAACAGAATGAAATATTTGTTTATTATATCTTACCAGACCTTGCAATAATTAGTGTTCTCATTCAAATTCCCATATTTCTCTTCTATGAACAATATAACATACATTTCCAAGAACCAATAGATGCAGTGATAGCACATCCTTCATTCAAAGGACTTCATTTATTGGAAAGAAGTGAAATACCCTTGGACCAAAGATTTGATAGCATTCTGCAAATTTTTAAAAACTCTTATGTTTGATATATATACCACCTGAGCCATTGTGGGATCCACATACTATGTCTTATCTCACAAGCTTTAGAGAAAGACACTCTGATAAACCAGAAAGCACCTGAGCCTTTCATATACATGTACATATAAAGATCCAGGTTTCTTCTACCATAAAATAGCAAGCATGACAATGATGCAATGAAGCTGTCACATAAGGCTTATGGGGTCACCGTTTGCCACCATGTGAATACTTTGAGCATGCAGCGGGGTATGATAATATATACATGGTGGGCAAAACAAATAGTTCGATAGCAAGATATCCCCCTCACACCAAAAATTATAAAAAATAATGCCCAAAATTATTCATGTACACAGTAGCAAATGGTGAGCACACACGATCTAGTATGACAGCTACTTTATTATTAAGGCATGTATTGGTTATCAATATCATATGGTGTCCTAAATATATAGATTATCCTATATAGAGGTCAATGCAGGATATGAAACTTCCATACAGGTGATGTTTTGAAAAAAATTCTGAAATACTTTTTTTGTGGAATCAAGATTAAAGTTATTTAAAATCAGCCTAAATATATAAATAGACACATGTTCAAGTACATCAGAGGAAGTGCAATGTGGTTACATACCACAACAAACTGCATCAAACCACAATGAACCACTATTGTCCAGTATTATTAAAAGATCAACCTCCAATGATTGGTTTAAAATATTTATAAAGCAAAGATGGGTTTGATCAAAGACTTCAAGCTTTTTGTTTATTTATGAAAAGGATGAGGAAACAAATTTTCAATATTATGAATTAAGGTTATTTTAGTTAAAAATAGATGTGGGAGGAAGTGCTTGATGTTTTATTTCAAAATCACTATTCAAGGTGAGACATCATGAAAATGGTTAGAGAACAGAGCCATGGAATTCTGAATATATCGATATATAGATACTTTTTTCTTATATGGTGGTTATAGATGCTGAATATATATGGATATTTCTTATGTTTTCCAGGATGTGAATCTATGTATTGACTCAAGCAAGAATAACAATATGACAGTGGACCATCAGAACTTCCCTCTAAAAGGTAAGTAAATGTACTTTCATACAGATGTCCATTCTATAGAGACTGGACTGTATACTGGCAAAATAGGTGAAAAATACAAGGTGTTACTTACAATATTAAGTGGAAGAAAACTGAAAACTGATGAGTCCAGCTTAGAAGTATGAAAAAATACAAGGTGCTACACCTGCAATTTTGCATTGGACCAATATGGGTTGATTCATGCGAAATGTAGAGCTCAGCTACAGATCAGTTTAATCAAGATTATTCTCTTTTATTAAATACAGTATGGTCTATGGTCTGTACAATTCATATTTATTGGAGCCGAAATGTTCATGAAGATGAAGCTCTCTTTTAAGAAGTGAAGTCAAACTAATTCAAAGGGTACACAAAATTGTAGCAGTCAAAATACTTGGTATCCCATTTCACACTCGACAAATTCCCTCTAATACTTATAGGTAAGTCATAATATAGAGTGTCCCATGCAAAAATGTATGATATTTTTTTTCATAACATTGGTATTTCATTCAACCATGACTCCATATGGGTTTACTTCGATGATTTGAATTCATGTAAACTCAAAAGTTGAATGATCAAAGCACTGCTTTGGATGATACTGTGATTCAATCCAAAGTTCAGTTCAGTGCACCTGAGATTCATTCTGATAATCATAGCATCTTCCTGTTTCACCTGAAACATCATCTCAGGGCTGAGAAGAAATGAGATGTCATGGTTTATCATGATGCCTGAGATTTGACTTTATTAAGTGGGCTCGACTCTGTTATTAATCTTAGCTCATCCTTCTTCAAAGGACTTCATTTATGCCTAAATTTTATACTTGTAAAATACCCTTGCAGCAAGGATGATCTTAGCTACCCTTTGCATTCGTTTGACTTCACTTCTTAAAAGAGAGCTTCGTCTTCACTCTTTCAAACTAAAATAAACCTGTGAACTCACCGCGCCAATCAGTGTTCGTCGGCCGAATTTGACCGACGTTCTATATATGGTCATTCTTTCTGACGTCATCGTTGAGCCCGGAATTGACCAATGACATGCACATATTTAATTAGAATGCATTTGGCGTATGTTTCTTCAAGCTCGCGGATTGGTGGAAGAAAGGTCAGCGCGTAGGTCAAAAGTGATTTATTACCCAAACTGTCACCGGTACCCATCGTGGGGCGGGGCTACTAAACTGTAATATGGTATCTACTAGGCAGAGTGTAGTTTAACTAGACTCTGCACGCAGGGTGAATCTTAGCTGTACTGTGGTTAATATACACATTTCCTTTGGGAGATCAGCTCCTCTCTGAATGCAAAGGGAAATGATTATAGTTGCATAAGGCTGCACATTTGTTGTTTTGCATTAAATTGACAAAAAGGTTTTCCTCAGTCAGATTGAATTCAAAAATTGAATGGGTAATAAGAGCCAATGTATAAAATGACTTTGTCATTGGTCACTGAAAAAGAATTCAGCTATTTTGTAAAACATGATTTGTTACAAAACACAGCCTAATAAAACTGACAGTTGGAATTTCAAATGTGATAATACAGCTCAAAGTGTGTCAAGCTAGGGACTTACAATTTTGTCAGATCTACAATGAATCAATATTATTACATTATCGCATTTTCTCTATAGGAAACTAGAAAATCACAGAGCTTTGATCCCCCGTGATTATCATAAAAGGAAGCTGAGTAAAGAACTGATTTATGACAAAAGTCCCGCTGAGTCAGATTTATCAGGATATTAGCTATTCATATCTCCCCTGATGAATTCAGGGAAGCATGATTATTTCTAAGTTATACTTCATTAATCAAGTTTAGGGACATGGTCGTATAATTTTAGAAGGCAGATAAGTGAATTTATGGCATCTTTTGTTATCTTCTTTTGGATTATTCTTCCAAACTGGGAAGTCAGAAAGGTTTACATGAAGTGAAGATTTTCGCATGCATAGATGTGCTATTGATATATTAGTCAAATTTTACCCTAAAGCCCACCATAGATAGCCCAGTTATAATTCCCAATTTAAAGATGTGAAATCAAATTATTAAAAAGGCTGTATACATTTAGATCAAAACAGGCTTTTTAGGATTTTTGTATGAAAAACTCAAGTTAAACTTATTCGCTAAATGATCAAACAAGAAAATGCATACTTAACATTTGCTTAAATGAGGATCTTACCTAACAAGTAGTTCATTCTTTGGTTCTTTTCCAATTCTAATTAAAGTGTTGAGTAATAACTGATTGTTTCTCAAGAGAAATTGGCAACGTTGCTGGATAAATATCTCAAAAATGTTTTCATTATTTTCCCACATATTTTTAACTGATGTTCTCACCTGATCAAGTATTTTATTTGGTGAAAGGGAATATTCATAATCAGAAATTCTCGCATTGGTTTAAAGGGATTGAGGGGATTTGAGAGATATTTTAGAAGAAATTGTCACACAATTTTATAAAAATGCTCTCGTCATTCTATGTCATTCCTGCTTTCTAAAAAATCTGACAGTTTTATATTTCCATCTGTTTAACTTCGGATTTTTAAAGGTACCAAAGCATTTTAGGGGCTTCTAGTCCTTATTTTGAAACCCTTCCTAGCACCTAAGGGATAATGTCCAATTATCAACAGTTTGAAAGAGGAAGTTATGAGATCATTTTGTTATAGCCCACTTCCTTCATTTTTAATGAAATTTAAAATGATGAGAATGTCTTTCACTTGCATATTAAAAAGAAGTCAATGAAGACTCTTTACTAATGAAACCATAATTTACCCCCTCTCCTTAGGAAGCTAATTTTGTTTTTCTACAACTTTTGATCATTGGACAACATCCCTAACTGATGAAGTTATGTCAGTCTAACACATTTCCTGAAAACTTTATTTGCTTGGATGAGTGTATGTACAAATTGTACATCCTTTGAAATGTTGAAACAGAAAATATGATGAAAGATAAGTATGCTAGTTATTTTGATATATGAACCTCTTGATTCCTGTTAAAGACAAAATCTGTCATTAATCTGATGACAAATCTGCAGACAATATTATCAATATATCACAGGATCACAGGATATTTCATGTCATGTGATGAGTGTTGAACCAATCACAATATGAGAAACACAATAGTGGAATAATATTTATGATTAACATTCAAGAGATGTCGATTTATTAATGATACAGAAAAAACTTTTGTTTACAAGAATAAAAAGAGGAATGATCAGCCGAAATAATTCTGAATTTTTGAAAAAGATGCTCATTTTCATATAGCTTAAATTCATTTCATTTCCATTTATAAGAAGCAGAATTTGTGGTTCTGATAATCAAAAATTGCAATACAGGTCAATTTGACCTATAAATCTGTTGAAAATCAAGAATGATGATGCTCTTTTGAATTCTGTTGAAAAGCAAACCAAAGCATGGATGAGTCCATCAAGAATTATCAAAGCTACCTTGATGAAAATCTGTTATCATATTCTATTTCAAATTGAGCCACTTTAAGCAACATTGCCTATGAATGCAACGTGGAATATTTATACCTTACAGGCCTTTTACCAGTAATTGTGTTTTGGTTTTGATAGTGGAAGCCAAAATAAACTTTGGGGAAAATATCTTCAAGGGTTAGGTAAGGTGAGAGTTATTTGGGAGTTAGTAATGCTTTGAAATCGAAATGTTTTCAGAAAAGCAGAAAATGTCAACTCATCACCTCTTAACATCCGATGGAAAAGTAAAATCCTCTGTACATAGATGCAACCTCAAAATATAAGTGTTGTTCTGATCATATTAGTCTTGAATTATGTATCTGTTTTGCCTCGATTCTTAGACTTATACAGGTCAAGGAAATATATTGGGAGGTGGTGGCCAGAGACTTGATGCAAATTGAGAGTCTCAAATTCAATGTTCAATACTGAGTTTTAAGGGTGATATGTAAAAGGTACTTACTCTATATAGAGGAGTGGTTGCTTAATAAAAAAGACCATTGAACCACTGACCCTTACCCAAGACCCATAGCCAGGGGGTTCAAACCTTTTCACCATTCTGAGCCCTTTTCAAGTCATATTGGCAAAAGTTGAACCCCCTTGAAATCTTTTTGAATGGCACTTGGCGTGGCAAAAGCTGGCTGCAGGCTTTCCCTGAGTTTTCTTTCTTTCTCTTCGGAAGTGGACATGAGATGTGTGTGTGTGTGTGGGGGGAGGGGTGTTCACGAGGACTTGAAGTAAGACCATATTCTAGTGGTTGAAATTTATCGTCCTTAAATTTTTAGGTAATATCCGAGTCTTGTGAGGTATGATTTTAATCTAACTTATAATGAACTTATCCAAAACATAAAGTGAGTGTTTATCAGTGCAAGGAAGTTAAACATAAGAGAGATATGGAGGGTTTAATGAATGCCCTCACCATGTATCAGCTGGGCCTATAGATGAGGATAAGCCTTCTAGTAAGAAACACCATATCCCATGTACCCTTGGTGAAGTCACATGATCTCAGTTAACCAATCACATAAAAGAGTTTATAAGTAAAAGTGCTGATGATGTTAGGTCAAGTTAGTTTATGAAGAAGATAAATGAGATCCCAGACTCTCTCTGTGAAATAGATAGCATACTCAAGCCCTAATTACTGTAATATATACACACCCAACCAGCTCCTCAAAAGTAAAAATAGAACTTCATTTATCGAATTTGTAAGTACATGTTTCATTTGAAAGGACTCCAAATCACATTTTTAAAATTCAGTTATTAGTAGCGAGACACAATGTTCTTCTTACTACAGTTTGAAAATGTATATCATTAAGAAAATGAATTTGTTACAGTGATATTAAACCAAATGTATGTATTTTTTTTCTTTGCAGTGGTGCTGCCACCTTTAAAGGACCCAAATAGGGACATGAAGATCCTGACTATAGACCAGGGGAGTGAAGGAGACTCTGTGGTGAAACCTCCTCTTACAGACACTACAACATCCCTCAATGTAGAGGTAGGTACATGGAGGTGTATGGGGGGGAGAGGTGGGTTTACTGTCAATTGACCAGGGATACAAGGTGGGTGAATACCACCACATCCATCTAAGTAGAGGTAGGTCTAAGGAAGGGAGGGGGGGGGTACTCTCAATGGACCAGGGGCATGAGATGGGTGAATACCACCACATCCATCTATGTAGAGGTAGTTCTAAGGAAGGGAGGGGGGGGGGTACTGTCAATGGACCAGGGGCATGAGATGAGAGAATACAACCACATTTCTCACTCACACTGTGTTAAGATAAAGAGATCAACATCCTTACTCTCCCTCTATAATCCTCATTCAAGATCACAAAGGTCAGAAAAGATATCTATCCATATTGTCATCAACATGAGCCCGTTTATACATTAGGAAGTCATTTTGCGAGAAATCACCACTAACATAAACATAAAACAGACAATATCCTTTATTGTATTTTACAGCACTCTGGTAGTTCCATTACAATGAAAGCTGATTAAGTTCAGAAAAATAGGCTTTTCCATTGATTAGTTTTCCCCGCAGTTGTTAGTCAGGCACTAATAGATATTTGCTAATGGCAGGATTAGCATGTAAATTGCACCAGTATGTAACTACCTACTGAATTACAGCTCTGAGGAGATCAGCTGCGGAAACATTGGTGAAAAATAACCAAATGTTTTTCCCTGGAAAAATAAAAAAGGCTTGCATATTGGGATCAAGTTGACCCCTATCCTCTGAGCTATAAAGCTGAGAATGTTAATAGGGCCACCGGTTATAGTAATTTACAAATGTCTTCCTTGATAAGGGTCAACTTTTGGAATCACCCACTTGTCCGTCTGTTCATCCATCTGTATCTAAATACTACAAGACATCTGTCCATTTACTCATCTATTAACAATTTTTGGAAAAATGAAAATGAAATTATTGACAGCCCAGGTAAAAATCATTTAAAATCTACCACGCTGACCCTTTCTCAATCAATCAGCGAAGTGGAAGGTAGGCATGCTTAATATGCTGATTAACTATGCGGTGATGTCATAGGAAATGATTATATAGAAAGTTGTCCATATTTCAATGACAAACTCTGATTGACTCAGTGAAATCAGAGATTTATTGTAAACTGAAAGAGGGAAGACGAAGCTCTTTTTTAAGAAGTGAAGTCGAACAAATGCAAAGGGTAAATATGAGCATGTTTGCTGACAAGCTGGTTTGAAAGAAAGTATAAAAGGCCCATCTAGACAGTTTTATGAACAGCCTACACTTTTTGAAAAATTCCAGGGGGCTCACTTTTGACAATTTTGGTCCAAAAATGGCCAAAATCACTTACAAAGTGCTCAGATGAAGAAAAACTGCAACCCATGGAACCCTCCTGGCTATGGGCCTGTACAGGTCATATATACTGCATTTGTCAGCAGACTTGCTTCAAGCTTTTCCCCAATTCAAAACAACAACTGTTTTTGAAATAAATAGAGGGGGGGTACCCAAGATCTTGAAGCAAGACTATCTAATGGTAGTAAAATCCCCCCCTCTTGTCTAGATTAACCTCTCCCTTATTAATCTTTGCCTTTCCTTATTAGTCTTTGCCTCTCCTTATTAATCTATGTCTCATCATAATAATCATTGCCTTGTCTTAGATCCTGGTTTACTGTTTCAAAAAGTCTCTTTCTGTCTCTTATAATAGTATGAAGACTTATCATGATGACTGTTACAAATAACTGTTTACACTAATGAATGGAACATCAAACAAAAGAACATCAAAGAACTTGTAAACAGTCTGAATGTAATATATCCACAAACAGTCACTTTTACTCACACTTCACTCAAACATGTCTGCAGCGATTACTTTTGTGAACCAAGATCCTAAATTACAGTTTAGAAATGAGGCAAGCTTTTCATGAGGTATTCTTAATTAATTCTTGTGTTATAAATCTTGAAAAGTGGCAATAAAAATTGGTAATTATTTTGGTAAAATATAGTAGTATGTTCTTAGGTTTTATCGACAAAATAAAGTAGTACTCTAGATAAAGAAAATAGGAGATGTGTCATTGCATCACCTAGACCAACCAATCAACTGACCTTCAATCGACCAACCAACCAACCAACCAATCAACCAACAAACTAACCAATCAACCAACCAACCAACTATTACCTGTACATTTCACTGATTGAAAATTGATTAGTGAAATTATTGCCAAAATAATATTCTAATATCCAAATACTTTATATATATTTCACTGAAATAGTAAATCAACAAACAAACAAACAAACAAACAAACAAACAAACAAACAAACAAACAGACAACCAAACAAACAAATGAAGTCAGGGGAAAGTGATTCACTTAAAATTAGAATTGTTTGTGATCAACATCTATGGGGTCGTGCACCTGAACAGGATCCTGACTGTACCCTGCTGTGGAAATGTATTTCAGGTAGACAATACATATCTCTATTATCTTGAGATGAAACATAATCAAGATTAGACATTTATCCAAGAGTGATGTTTTTAATTTTGTATTTTGCACGGGAATGGAAGACTATTCTAAGAAGAATACTATATTTAGTAAAGATTTAAGAATTGTATGGTTTCTCTTTAAAATAAAAACATATTTTTCAGGTATTATAGATTTTGCATGAAACATAGATACAATTTTTAAAGAACCTCTACCCTTTGCATTCGTTTGTCTTCACTTCTTAAAAGAGTGCTTCGTCTTCACTCTTTCAAACTAAAATAAACCTGTGAACTCACCGCGCCAATCAGTGTTCATCGGCTAAATTTGACCGACCGACCGATGGTCATTCCTTCTGACGTCATCGTTGAGCCCGGAATTGACCAATGACATGCGCATATTAGATTAGAACGCATTTGGCGTATGTTTCTTCAAGCTCGCTGATTGGTGCAAGGTCAGCGCGTTGGTCAAAAGTGATTTACCCAAACTGTCACCGTTACCCGTTGTGGGGGCGGGGCTACTAAACTGTAAAATGGTCTCTACTAGGCAGAGTGTAGTTAAACTAGACTCTGCACGCAGGGTTAGAACCTCCAAGTTTGACGGAACATTATAACTAGGTTAGAGTTCTTGGAGAGTACACATGTTTTTGCACTTTTTGTACTTTATTTTATTGACATTTAAATTACTAACTTTGGTCTTGATTTATTTTTAGACTCACTATATATGAAGGAATTTTCAAACTCAACAAATTCTTCAGTGTCAATAAGGTTATCAATGTTGAATTCTTTATCAAAAACTTCAAGTTGATCATTTGCTCATTGATTTTAAGAAGTCAACAATAAGACATAAAACACACAATATAAACATTCATAAAACATCTTAGTGAGGGCTTTAAAGTGCTATTATCTTGAAATTATCTTGTATTTATTTGTAATCTGCATTCATCATGAACCACTGTTAGCTTTGATGTTTTGTTATGCGGCTCCTTTTAGTTCTTCAAAGTGTTATTCTTTGTCTTCCTGTTTGGAACTGTTGAGTTGGTTGCGTTTTCCTCATAGACTCAGTAAAATGTGAATAAATGGCTCTTGGGAAATCGTTATATCAATGCTTCAAGTAATTTTACTTCTTATAACTGTTATTGGTTCTATAAAAATGACTTTGAAGGTATCAATACAATGCTTAGTGCCTGTAATTGTAAAATTTCATTTTCCAGTTGTAGTCCCAGGAAATTCTCCTTTAGTATCTTGTAGTGGTTTAATATGAAACTAGGGCGTTAGCTTCACTTTGCTATCTTCTAATTATGGCTAAGCTATACCTGGTTGAGACTAAAACAATTAAAGAAATTTTCACAGGTATTTATTCTATGGATCACCTCTTAGCTTTGAAGTAGTATTGTGGATGAGGTTTGACTTTCTTCAGTGCTAAAACCTGCGCCTTTACCCAAATCTTGATAATTACAATATCTTCATCAATAATCAAGAGCTAGAATGTATATTGTGAGATTCTTGAGTGTGATGGTATAAAGGTCAGACTGTGTGTGGCTCTTTGGGTTAAGTATTTGGAATTATAGGGAGATTCCTTCAATAATTGGATCATTTTTCTCCTCCTGGTAACCATAGTTACTTGTTTGACATTCCATCAACAAATAACAAGAGGCAACTGTCTGCCCTTACAAAGAAATTCAACTGTCTCCCCTTACAAATTATTGAAAAAAATGTATTTTTGCACATCAAATATTTCATCAAGGATTCTATGCTGTAAGCATATGCATTGTAGTAACATAACAGAACAATTAGTACTTGAATTTTCCCGGGTACAAGTAATATATCATAGGTACTTGTTAGTAGTACCTTCAAGGACATACTTGCTGGCTAAGCTGTGTTGGGAGATACTTTGAAACAGACCACATTTGAATGAAATCTTCAAGTGATTCCACTTGTTATATAACATGAAAATGGGTTAAACCAGCAGCAACCAGCAGGAAAAATGTTTGTTTTTAAATGCAGATATAATATCAACCCCCCGTTTGTTTGTGATTTACTTCGTAAATATGAGCATATACCTGCCCGTAATTTAAGAGATCAAAGAGATTATTCTCTTCCAACTCGACTGAGCATGTCTTCTAAAAGAAGTACCATATTTCAGGCTATAACATTGTGGAATGATTTGCCACCTGATACTAGAAGGGGTCAACCTATTTCTAGTTTTAAAAGATTAGTGCGAGAGTACAAGAGCCCTGTCTCTTTAATCCCAACTACTAAATTAAATGTGACCTTACCCAGACATCTCGAAATAAAACTAAATAGACTAAGATCTGGCCTCTTATTAAAATCACACCTTTATGCTCACAACTTCAAAGACATTACTGATCCTTTGTGCCATTGTGGTGTACCAATGACAACCATGCATTTTCTTTTAAAATGCCCACTGCTACAGAATGAAAGAAACAACCTCATTGCAGGCCTTCGTACTTACAATTTAAGTGACTTGTTCAATAACTACAACTTGAATGACAAATTACAATTTTTACTGTTTGGAAGCACTAACCTGGATGCTAATGAATGAAGCTTTAATTCATATTGTTAGCTATTATATACATACAAGCCTTGTTTTATTATCTATCTAGTAGTAATTTGACAAGTCCTTTTTTCTGCAATGACCCAATTATTTTTCAAGTTCCGTTAACATCCTGGCCCATGGGATAACCTTCAGGTATTTTGAAATAACCTTAACAAATTTATCTTATTTCATTATCTAATATCTACATGTATATATAATATATATATTAAATTGCCGCTAATGTTGCAAAACCTTGGCAATTAGAATTTGTAATTGAATGTAAATGTTTATATTAGAAATAAATTGATAACATGAAAAAAAAAAAAAAAAAACCAGCAGGAATGTCCAATGTTTACAACAGTTGTAGCATTACAGCTTGTTTAAGTTATAACAATATTGAACTAACAAGTTTTTGGGCAAATTTTGGGTTATCACAACAAATACAGCAAAAGTATATGAGATGCACAGGCTTTGTACCTTTGTGAATTCAAAATCTGCTGAAATGGAAACTACATCTTAGTGATTTTAAGGTTGATTATAGACCTCCTTTATCGGGTTAAGGTCTTGACATTCATGGGTCAAGGTCACATAAAACAGTCAATGATAAATTAAATTTTGAATAAATGGTATTATGCTGTCTTTTCCACTGTTGTTTTAAAATAGGACGAGTTTCCCATTTCCCCAGTGTGATTAGGCCCTACCTTGAACATCTGTGTAGTGGTGCATGACTGGTAATACCAAAACCTTCCCTGCCTCCAAGGCTTTGCCTTATGGGGATTTTAACTTTAATCTTTCATTAGCAATTTTAGAATAGTAAAAAGCCTTGCTACCTGGGTCTTTTTATACAAAGTTCCTACTAAACCTTACCACATACCATATACTCATGTCTAATCCAGGTTCTCTAGTGTTGCTCCAAGACTCTGTATCTCCTCCCTTCTCTACTAATATTTTAGCCAGAGAGTAGATGGGTTTAGAGGTCTTATGCAAGACTACAGACTAATGGCTCTCCTTGAGCTCATATCATCTTCCAAATACAAATGCAATGTTGTTTTTCCAACCAAAGTACCTTTTAAAATGTTTTCTGTTGAAACCACCTGATAAACCCTGTCGGCTGATTAGAAGCATTCCACAGAAAAATGTAATAATGATTACGGTTTAAAACGCAAAATGAAGTAGAAAGGAATGGAATTTACTAGGAGCTAAATACACTAACATGAAGTACATACTCTAAATTATACAGAAATGCAAGAAAATTAGGTACTTCATTCAAATTTTAGAGACAAGTTCATGGAAAAAGCCTGATAAAAGATTGATTTTAAGCAACAGTTTTTAAGTGGTAGTATGTGAAGGCATAAGTTGCATAGAGGCTACCAGGATAAAGTCTTATGTTATCTATGTGTTTTATAAATGAAACATACTTGAATAGAAAAATAACAAATGAAAAAATGCTTTTGTGCTTATATCATAAACTGACAGTGTTCTTGGACTGAAGAATGTTATCATCTCACAAGGTTATTTTCTATGGGGCTATAATAAGGACAACAGCTTGCTTTTTTAAATCAACAAATTTAAAGTCCATTAGACATGACATATACCAGCTCATCCAGCAAACCAAACAACATGCTCAATTAGAATAATAACCATAGTATATTTCTTATATCCTGTAAACGTTTGTTTATATAAATCTGAAAAATTATATTTTGATCAAGATCAAGAATAACAAAAATGTCAATTATGAGTCATTAAACCTAGTTCCAGAACAAGCAGAGGCTTACTTTACACTATTATATTTTGTATTAAGTTTATTTACATGAATTTGAATGTTGAGTCAGTATATCATCTTTATGACATATGTATTTGCAGGAGTTTGAATATGGTGTCAGTATATAATCTTTATGAAATATGCATTTGCAGGAGTTTGAATGTGGCGTCAGTGTATAATCTTTATGACATATGTATTTCCAGGAGTTCCAATATGGTGTCAGTATATAATCTTTATGACATATGCATTTGCAGGAGTTTGAATGTGGCGTCAGTGTATAATCTTTATGACATATGTATTTCCAGGAGTTCCAATATGGTGTCAGTATATAATCTTTATGACATAATGTATTTGCAGGAGTTTGAATGTGGCGTCCGCATATAATCTTTATGACATAGACATTTGCAGGAGTTTGAATGTGTCGCAGTGTAGTATAATCTTTATGACATGTATTTGCAGGAGTTTGAATGTGGCGTAAGTGTAGAAGGCTCTGAGAAACAAGAATGGTCATTCACACTCTATGACTTTGATGGCTGTGGCAAGATTACTAAAGAGGTAGGCCTATGAGATGACAACCTTTTTCAAAAAGCATATCAGTGATTCTTTATAACTGTTGTTTTGGTTTATATCACAAGCCAATGAGGTGTGTTTTAGTGATTAACTTTCCTGTTATCTCAACATCTTCTGGAACTATACCATTGGATTACTATGGAAAATTCCTCAAAGATAAAATTCTTGGGATTAAGGAAGGGGTACGATTGACACAATTTGAGAAATTATTGGCAATTTATTTAAAACAGCATTAATATTATTCAAAAGGGATTGTAATAATGATTCACAGCCCTCTGAAGTTGGAAAAATAATAATACCTGGGTGTTAATCCATAGATAATCCTTGAAAATGAGAAATATTTTTTAGAATTATATGGTGCAATCTTATAGTCAATAAAACATTTTAAAGTGTATTGATGTTTTTTAGATGAAAAACACAAGTGAAGTGCATGGAAAAGCTCCCCAGATTCATTCTACAAACAACTCGCGGTCCTTTATATTACAATGAAATGAAACAATTTGATTCTGTAAACACCTAGGTTTTGTAAACATGGATCACCTTGGTTACCAAATTCTGTTACCATGGTAACTGGGGGAATAGAAATGATTTAACAACCTGCAGTGGTTATCACTCTTTGCTTCAGAGATAACTTGCTTAACCTGCACTTAACAGGTTACACATTTCTCCCCAACATCTACAGTATTTCAATTCAGTGATTTATTTCTTTAAATTGTTTTTGAACACAGGTCCTAGGTGAACTGTATGAGACCAGAACTGCAGGTTCTAACCAGATTTCATCATAATGTAACAAGCATTTTGTAAGCTCAGTGGTGAACTGATTATACCACCAGATTTGTGTACACTCCATAGCCCCATGCTAAAGCTACAATACCTCTAAGTGTAATGAGGTCTGTCTAGTACCTGTGATCATTGAACACAGTGCTCTCCCCACATTGAACAACAGTTGAATATGTGAGTTGAGTTCTTTTTGTGAACAGAGTGGCCCCATATTTTGATATCACATTGGTGTGTTATATTTTAAAACAAAAATTAATGTTGAATGCACTTTCGTACTTTCAGGACCTGGCTAGTCTACTGAAGTCACTCTATGACGCTGTAGGATCATCTATAAAACTGCCTCAAACTGGCACAAAAACTCTGAAACTGAGACTCACAGTTGCCCCAGATGGCACTGGTGTCAACCAATCAAAAGCATTGGATGGTACACCAGATACGAAAAAAGCTCTCGTGAAAAAAGACATTAAATCAACTCCAAATGAGGAGAAAATAAACAATGTTCATAAAGGTACCAAATTAGAATTCTCCAAAAGAAACAATGTTCAACCTGAGGGTGGCTTATGCAAGAAAACATTGAATAAAGATTCAAAAGCTATGAACAAAGATGGTAAAATCCTCAATAAAGACTGTAAAACCCCAAATAAGCCGGTGAACAGGCCAGGAAAACCAGTGACTAAGGACACTAGAGATGGTCATATTGAACATAGAACAGTAAACAAAGACTATAAGAATATGACCAACTCTAAGACAATTAACAAAGGTGCTGCAGCTGTTGATGCATCAGCAGCTGTAGAAGGAACAGCTGCAGTTGGAGCAGCTGTTGATGGAATTCAAACGGTTGATGGATTAGATGGCAAACATCTGGCAGATCTAATACAGAGGAATATGGAGAGACACCAGGCACGGACTGCACACAGAAGGTATGAACATTTAGAGAACTCAGTAAACACAAAGGGCAAGAAAAGTGTTCCACTTCTAGATGTGCTCCACTTTACAGGTTTCACTGTATCACGGTGCCCATGTCAAGCTGCGCGCCTACTTAGGCGCGCAGTTTGTTTCGATCACAAACTGCGTGCCTAACAACATTGCATCATTTAAGTTGGAGTCTGTATTTTGAAACGTAATTTAAAGACATTCATCCTTCATTGTTTTCTTGTTGATTGCGTTCATTCTGTGGCGAATGTACGAATCTTGCAAATACAAGCAAAAATTATGTGCAAATGAATCTAAGTTTTAAAACATAAGCAGATTAATGGCATTTTCGTCACTGATTTAACGGGAATTTATACGTAAATCGATCTAGCACTTTAAACATAAATGACAAATACTTTAGACTCGTTTTATATTTAATTCCTTACGCATTTATCATGTATAATTCAAAATATTTCGAGATAAAACAGATAATCAGGAGATTAAAAAGAAATAAACCACAAACTGCGCGCCTATTTTAGCCAGAAATTACAAACTGTGCGCATACACTATTAAAACTACATATAATCATTGGAATTTCTACAGAGGCACGTATAGGTGTTTTTCATATAGCTTTGGAAATTTTGTTTTATCGTCAGATTTTATGAGATTTTTATATTGAAAGTCAAAATGTATAATAGAATTGACAATTAAGTTGGGAACGAAAGAATCTTTAATTTTCAGATCACCATCTTGGTGGATGGACTGTCATAGTGTTTCAATTATGGGGTTCTACTATTAGACACATATGTGCCTTACATATGGCGCTTACGTTTTCTAATAATACATAACAAGCTTGGGTAGGCAAGTTTGGAAATATAAGGCACGCAGTTTGGGAAATACATGTGAATATAGGCGCGCAGTTTGACAAGAAAATGTTTAAATCACGTTTATGGCGTATTATCGTTTTGAACACAAACTATGCTGCTTTAATCAGATATATCTAATATATTCTAGCATACACAGACACAATGACTGAATAAACGGCAAATGATGATAAAAAGACATAGATATAACTTTACACTGTAAATTTTGAACACAGAAATTACTTAAGACCCTTATATTGAGATAACTAGGTTTACATCGGGAAAAACATTATGTACTATGAGTAAATTAAGTTCATCTTTAGAACGAGACTAACCTTGTACATGTATTTTTCGTATTTTGGCTCTTTTTGGGAGTTGTGTCCTCCCTGTCTTCCATTTTGAAATATGCGCGCAGTTTGTCATGCTTGGCATGGGCATTGTGTGTATACTAAAACATGATTGTAGTATGATTATTTCAAATTTATCCTAAATGCTGATTTATAAACTTGAGTTAGTGGAAATTAGATGAGACTCTTAACATTTGTGACATGTGTGTTCCCGTTTAAAATTTCAGTTCTTTCATTTTCAGAAGACATCAAACTGAAGGTGATACATCAAGACACCACAGAAGACATCATCGCCATAGCTCCCGCAATTCAACCAATCATAGTGTCCCTAACAATACAACAGCCAATCAAACATCAGCTGTCAATAGACGCTTGGTTAATCACCAAGAGAACTTAGACAGACGCAGTTATTATTTAGATCTTGCAGGAATCGAACATGACTCAAAACTTCCTTATCAACCAACAGAGCACACTACGCACAGATCACATCATGGACATAGCAAGTCTCGCAAAAGAGCATCAAAGATAGATTCTTTTCACAACGAGGTTTCTAAGTCACCAAACAACATCCAAAATGATGAAGAAGGAACCCGGAAACGCAGTGCTAGTTCCAGGGGCCGCTTTAAGTATTCAGTTAAATGTGCAGTAGAGCGTGAACCTGAAAGTCGTTCTCGCTCTTTTGATTGTCATCGACATCAGCCAGTTGCTATGGGAACCCCAGACTCACCCAGGCAGGAAACAAAGCAGCAGCATCATCATATGTCCCCCAGGGCATATAGAGACACCACAAGTGCTAGTCCATGCGATCCAAATACCTCATCCCCTAAACATAGTAACCGCCATCGTCCCTTAAGTCTTCATATTCCCGAACAGGAAGTGACATCATACAGGCGCCATCAAAGGCAACGGGAAGATCGCCATCTAGCCATGCAGCAAGTAGCAGAGTGGATTGAGAAGGAACATGTCATTGGCCCAGAAGAGGAAGTGGTGCCATCTAATGTTGTGGTTCAGCGTCATGAGCACCACCACATTCACGAACACCATCACCACCATCATTATCACCACTACTACGAGACTTAAACCAGAAGTAATACTTTCAATTCAACACAGATTCAAAGATTATTTACTGAAGTCTATGAACTGGGAGATCACCTTCAGAGAATTATGTTGTGCCTTCGCGAGACTTAAATTTCCTGCAAACCACAAAATATGTACGATTAGCAATGCAAAGGGTCAAATAGCTATGCATCTGTGTACAATAAAGGATGCAAAGGGTCAAATAGCGATAAGTTTCACGAAAAAAACAACATATTATTGTAACCTGACTGGTGTTTAAGCCACACAACAAGATGTTATATCAGGATGTGAATGGTGCTGCTATAGAAAATAATTGCATTTTTATAATCAATTATCATATCATAAAATGTTAGTTGACTGTTTGCCTATCATTAAGGTGGGTTCAGTCGGATGACTTTTGGAGAAGATAATCTATTTCACTTGGTCCACCTGAAGTCTTTTTAATCTTCATATTAATTTATTGACTGTGTTTGGAATGTATAAGCATTAGAAGTTTACATGTACATGTTGAAGCTGAACATTTCAGAAACTATGTGCCGGCAATTACCAGTTTAACTTAAGACTGGATAATCAGATAATAACAGGCTTGTTTTGATTTTAGATTTTCCCCGTCATTGAAATTTTCTTTGTAGCATTGTTTAAGGTGGTAAGAGTGGAATAACCTTTATGTCTATGTGTATGTGTTACCAGAAAGGACATTTTAAATTACGAAGTCCATTCTGCTTGACCTTCCTTAAGATTGGCAGTTGTTTTACCTCAATGTAAAATTGAGATGAGAGTTGATATTATACAGTGTACATACTACTTTTTAAGATATACATATCAATGCGTCAATATCTTAAATATTGTGAGATATAACTTTTATTTTATGGCTTTATATAAACTGAAAAGTGATGACCTTAATTGGTGATAACCTTATTTGGTGATGACCTTATTTGGTTATGCCCTTATTTGTTCATTTAATTGATGGTCATATTTGGTCAATACAGCTGTTATGTGGAGTTAATAATGTTGTTTTGTGTATTTATATTTTATCCTAAATAATCACTATGCTGTAATTCATATCTTTATAAACTGATATTTTAAAGTTCCTGGGTTTTACACTTATTTACAAAATATAATAGGTAGCTATATCCATGATTGGAAGGTTTATTGAAAATTGTTTTTTTTATAATTCTCATATATTGTATTTCTAGAAGAATAGAAAGTTGATATTTAATTATAGAATCATAAAATATTCTTACATGATGTGATGTTGAAGTAATTACTGCAGGACATTTGATTCTGATATGGTCATTAATTTCATAGTCTTGCTTCAAGACCCTAAACCCCCCTCGCTTTACCTACTTCATCAACAAGTCTGGTGTGTTGATATCGTAAAAGTACCCAAATCATAAAATTAATAAAACCTATTTCCAGATCTGGCACCTGTGCCTAGGCACTGATAACATTTGACCTTGTCGTTGATGAACATAAGGAGGGGGTCCAGGGTCTTCATGAAGGAAGACTATTAATTTTGTTGTATAAATACAGGTTAATTTTTTTATCACTTTTTGAATGATTTCGCAGTTATTTTTTGCTGATAACTGTTTATCAGTATGTTCGAAAATTTGGAAATATCAAAGGAGAAGAATGAGATTTGTAATATCTGACTTTGTTTTATCTAGTCCATTGTATCATGATAATGTACTTTCTAAAATATAGATCTGCATGTAATGTGTATTTTGCTATTGGCACTTTATATTTACTTGATGGTTTGTAAAGACATTGTATTGGGTGTGACAAGGGTTTTGGACGAGCTGGTTAAGTTTGTGAACTTGTTGTCATATTAATTTACATTACATACTGTAATAGCAACAGATATTCAGTAACATTTACTGGACATTGCATGTTCAATCAATGGACCTCTGCTTTAGCTTCATTCAGAGTTAGAGCCCAGTACATTAGGGCCTAAATAGGGGAAATTAAAATAAACAAAACTCTTTGAACTCCCTTCTAAAAGTTGTAAAATATATTTATTCATGCAAACTTTAATCCTTCAAACCCCTTGTGTTCTTACAGCTATGATGATCTATTTTTAAGTAAGTCCACCAACAAATGGTGACATTTTGTTATAAATGTTTTTGACTGATGCTCAGAGTTGTTGCTACACTTTTGAAACCATTTGCAATAACTGACTAGATGCAAGGAGGATTGGCTCCCAGAATGCAATATCGATATACTTGCCATACATGGTGTTATGACCTTGACCTTGTTATCACTTTATGATCAAGATATTAGTTCAAATCTTTTAGATTGCTGATTATGAATTTATAGTCAGTTATAAAATCAGTATTGTTATCGATCAAGGTCAAGGTCGAATATTGATGTTGCATTCTGGGAGCCAATAGGTGGTGACATTTTGTCATGTCAGTAAACTTTCATGTGTTCACTAATGGAGATTTCAAATTGTCGACTTGGAGCATAGATGATACAGTCAAGCTTGTTAAGTTATTGTGAATCACACTTTCTGAAATTCGGATATCTTGCCAATAGTAGCATCTTTTAATACATGTGCAATAGAACTGCATGAATAATCATTCTACTTTTGAAAGCCTTGTGAAATAGTATCCTAACAATATATATTTGCAGCTGAACTGAAAAAAATTAGTCGTTTGGACCGATGCTTGGAAAACATAATGTTGAACATGTATTTTAATTAAGCATTATAAAACAAGTAAATTGAAGATTTCAAAAATAATCATAACTTTCAATTTTCACAATGACTCATCATAAAAGTGTAATTTAGTCGCAGGATTTGTAATTCATAAAATTTTCCCAAAAATGGGCCTGTGTCAACAGCCAAACTGTGTCTGTACAATTAATTGACAATACAGTCAGTGAAGAATATAGTCAGTTTTACATCAGAAAAATGTTTGTTTGTTGTTAATTTATAGAATCAAATGTCTAAAAAACCTTACCCATGCATTAATGCATTTGTGATCTTCATTTGAGCTAATTGAACAAAGATGGACCAGTGCCCATAGTAGGGATGTTAGTCAATTTAGAATTAATTATGGTTTTCTTATGGGACAACTTTCCCACTTGGTGGCCTTTATAAAGTATAAAGGAAACAGTTGATATTATTCCCTGTATAAACCAATGGAGAATAAGACATTCTTTGTGGTTCACAATATAACACATTATTACCACCTTGCCGGGCCAGTTCTAGGGGTTTTAGTGCTAGTTTAGAAGGCATTCATTTTACTATATCGACCTGAGAAATGTGTGACGTCATAGTGGTGGTCCATATGGATCGGTCTAGAATATATTGTGGACCGGCAATTTTTCCCCGGGAAATTAGATATCGTTCAGTGTGTGAGATTTTCTTGCTATTTCAGCCCTGGTGGTAATAATACTAATAATAACGTCATTTCTGCGAGCAATATTGTGAAATATTGGACCTTGGGCCTTCAGTCCAATATTTCACTATATTGCCCTTAGAAATGATGTTATTGTACTATTCATAGTCAAGTTCTCTTAAATATGTGTAACTTAACCTATCTAATACTTACTGAACCTATCCTTCAATGTTGTCTCAAAGTATAATTATTACATTTAGATCGAACAGGTGATGAAATGAGAAATAACATGGAAGAATGAGAATGCCATCATACTGATATGTTTCTCAATCCGAGATTTCAGTCAGTAAACCATATTATAATGTTGTTAACATTAACAATATGTCCTCTTCAAACATTTCAAAAAGACCTAGTCATGAAGAAAAATGATCGGACCTGCTTTTCTCGCCATTTATCCAAATATCCTTGAATATATGCATCTGAATCAACATCACATGACAAAGTGTACCAAAAGTTTTACTACATCCTCATTTCAAGCAATTATTTTCATGTCACCACTACAAGTGGTGGCATATTGTTATAGTCTCCAACTTTCATGTATTTGGCAGTTGGCATTTGGTCATTGGTATTTGGTGGGCGGCTGTCAGTGTCTGTAACAAATGGCAGGTAGTGACATTTTGCATGTCAATGCTTAGTATCATAATAGTACACACCAAACATATCAACAATTCCAAAGGAACATTCTCACTCAACCTGGCACTGCTACAAGTCTCTCCTACTATACAAGGTACATTGGGAACTGAATTCCAAGTTTTAAACCTTTTGTCCCTTCCAAAATTTGGAAGAATACAACTAATGAGCATAGGTTTTGGGCCGATGTAAAGATGGCAGTACCAGAATCTAATATTATATTTTTCTCTCTTTATTTAAAAATCATTTCTATCAACCTCAGCATAATGGTACTGAGCTATTCCTATTTGCTCATCATACAAGTTCTAATGTTTAATGGTGACATCTATCACACAGATTATAAATGAGCTATTCATGTTTGGTGAAGCAGATTGTAGAGCGACTTCAGAAGATAAATATTTCCACTATCACTCAGATATCACTTGGCTAATTGTCATTGTAATTATATGGATGACAATTAGCCTTATCACTCTCTTCTTATTACTCAAGTTTTGTGCACACAGTGCAGGATGGTTATTGTAATTGTAGTATGTATGTAGGTGAAAAGTAACATGATTTTTTGTAAAATAGAGGGCACAGTTGTTTGATGATTGAAATCAGCTACTTTAATAGGGTATTCAAGAGGGGGAAATTCCAAGGTTCAGAGATGACAAACGTCTATGATATAAATGTGTATTGACGTGAATAATGTAACGGAATTCAAAGGCGGTTTCAAAATTTTCTAAAAACACTTCAAATAATATTCACATCAAGATTTGTAAGGAATATGCTAACATTGATGAAACCATCAAAACACAAAACCATGTGGTATTCAATAACTGGCCGGTGAAAATTCAAACAAATGATGGTGGTAAGCGAGAGATGTAACTACGTCGGTCATTTACTAAGCTCTGGGGTTTTCCCTCCTCTTGGTATTCCAGAAGTATATAGACTGATGTCACTATTTTGGAAATGTTGCAGCAATCATCATCAAACAGTAGACATGCTTAATGAGTTGGTATATGATGTTTAAAAACTAACAACTACACAAAACATTAGCACCCTCTTATGTTTTCTATGATTACTTAAAATAATAACATTAAAGCAATTTTTTATTTTTATTTTATTTGATCATTTTGGCACATAAATAGTATACAAAATAATCCAATGTACAAGACTGTTCTGTATGTATAATGTATTATAGTGTATCAAAACACTGTATGAAGAAACAAATGCTCTATTTACATCAAAAATGAGTATTTTGTTTGCCTAATGCAGTGATCTCCCCAGTATCGGAGCAAGTGGAAGCTGTCTATAGATGCACTTAAATATAGGCTGTCATGGATGCACTTAAAAATAGACTTGTGTCTACTTGCTACAGATTTTTAAACTTTGATAAATGAGAAAATCATGGAGATTGTATATTTTGGCCAACTCTGGCCAACAATGAAAATTTTACACCAACTTGAGAAAAATCCTGGGGAGAACACTGTTAATTTCCTAAGCTGTATGAAGATGATAATACAGAGTGTCCATAAATTCTCTCTACACTTTTATAATTGTAAAAAGACTATGAGCATCCTGTATTCCATTCTAGATGTCTACTCACTATTTGAGGCTCTAAAAATGATTATATGTATTTGTATAAAATGATTGCACCATGATTTACATGATAATTATATCATTATTAAATTATTAGCACCATTGTATCATACTGCAAAAATATTATTAAATTATTTATATTTGCATTCTAAAAAATTAATCTCATTAAAATGTCAGCAGTCATATTTATTTAAAACCTGTTTATGGAACACCTCATAATATGAACACCTCATAATGTATACACCTCACAATGTGAAATGATATTGTATGAATGAACACCTCATAATGTATACACCTCACAATGTGAATTACATTGTATGAATGAACACCTCATAATATGGATAACTCATAATGTATACACCTCACAATATGAAATAACATATGAATGAACACCTCATAATATGAACACCTTATAATATGAACATCTCATACGTACATATACATCACAATATGACTGATTTTATATGACGGATGTTCTATATACAGGTTCTTTGTTAAGCTTGGCACGTAAAGTATAAACTTGAGGATCGAATTTGGTACATTTTGTTATGCTATTTAAAAAAGTGTACAACAGTCAATGCAGTACAGTAAGTGTACAAAAATAATTCCATTTTTGTTCGAACAACAAAATTAAAATCTCAAAATGGCAAATCAGCATTTAAAAAGCTAAGTCTGTATTCAAAAGGGTAAGTCTGTATGTAAAAGTTTTTATAAAAAAGGATTTCCAATCTCAAAATGGCAAGTTTTGACCCAAGAAATAAATAAATAGAAAAATGTGCATGTCTCGAAAGTCAACATTTCTGCACATAAACCTATTAATCTACATAAAAGCATTTCTTTTATATGGTTTCTACAAATTATTACTAAAAAGTTAAAAGCGACCTTAGGTATTTAGTCCTTTAGACATTAATATTGTTTCAACATTTGCAGATTTTATACAGGATTTCTATACAATAGTTCTGTACATTGTCCCTTTAATCTACTACATATATTTATTGTGATAGTGCCCTGGGGCCTATGAAAGTTCAGACCACAGAATCAGCTCTTTCTACATCAAAGGGTGTAGTAACTTCCAAAGAGCCTGATTTTGCAATGACAATGTCAACGACGGGATCATCTTTTTCACCAACTTTGGTTTTTTCAATTTTGCGTACGATCTCCATACCTTCGAGTACTTTACCAAATACGGTATGTTTGCCGTTCAGCCATTTTGTTTCCACTGTTGTGATGAAGAATTGAGATCCATTGGTATCTTTTCCTGCAACCAGATATAAAAATTATTTGAGAGAAAATGTATGAAGAATATCCTATGATATTTTTGAGGGATACAATTTTTATCCAATATTGTATATCAAGCATCTCCATGAATAAGCACAGAGCTACAGAGAGAGAGTGGAGATGGGCAATATCCATGAATCAAGTACATGTACAATTTTAGTAGTGCATGCTAAAATTATCTTCTATCGCTTCCCCATATACATGTAATAAGTATCCATAATATAATGATGTGTTGTTAGGGAGGGGGGTCATTGAAGATCGGTTTGTGAAAATTTTGATATTAGGTGGAAGGTATGATGTCATCATTAAAAATAGGTCAAAATAATTATACACCTCCAAGTAAGTGGATAAATAAATACTTTGAATATATCTAGCTATTATTCATAGATTCAAATGCCTGTGATGGATGCATGTTTAAACAGTTTAATATTGCTTGAGCATACAAAGTTAAACTCCTCATGAATATAAACTGACAAAGTGACTATTCCTTGTATCTGACTCCTTAAATGTCAACATCCAAAATATGTATATCAATAGCTAGCTAATGACAACACCTAAGTTTGATGTGATATTCATTCGATTTCCTGGATGGATAACCACTTCCAAACTCCACTTAAATATTTCCATTACCTGCATTGGCCATGCTGACCCATCCTGCTCCATAATGGTCAAGTTTGAAGTTTTCATCATCAAAGTATTCTCCATAAATACTCTTGCTTCCACTTCCATCTCTTGCAGAGAAATCTCCACCTAAAACACATATCTGATTGGTTAATACATGTCACATGACAATGAACATACACATCTGATTGGTTAATACATGTCACATGACAATGAACACTTACTCAGTTGAAATACAAGCCAGTCAAGTTGCCAGATATGATGGCCTCCTGCGAAAGCATGGGCCCGGAACCATGCATACTTATACATCGTGCACTCCAAATAATCAAAATAGAGGATTTGTTAGATTGATAAATAGATGGCAATAGAAGTACATGTATTGGTTGGGCAACTATACCCTTCCATTATATGGAGAATCTGTCAAAGGTTATTACTTTATTTCTTAATTCATCAAATATTCCCAATTTTGATATTTTTAACAATGGGTCCGTGGTAATTTAGCTCAACTTTTTTCGGAAAACTTAGAAATCATTGAAAACTGAATATGAGAAAATCAAAATTCCTCTTGTGGAAAACTATCCAGAATTCAAATATGTCATCAACACAAACAAAATTTAAATCTAATTACATAAAAATCCTAAAATCACATTAAAAATGAAAATTCCATAGCTACATGAACATAGCATGCAAACTGCAAAGCCTCTATTGGGAGTTATTTAGGAATTAACAGAACAGATTTTATCACTACTAAAAAAGCATTGATGTACTGACTATACTCTAGGATTCTCACAAAACAGCTGGTCAGGATAACTTTGATAAATTATCATGACCATGTGGTGTAAAAATAGCTAAGTGTGTCTGAGAAAAATAACTCAGTAACAGGATACTGAACTATATCCTTTGTTCAGGTAACCACAAACCAGCAGTTTGTCTCTTGCAGACAAAGGGACACTGACTGAAACAGCCACGTAGTATCAATAAGCAAAAGTTTTTTATGTGCAGTCTGCACTCAAATATTACATTTTACATGGGACTTATAGACCAAAGGATTAACACTTTAACATGCAAAATGTCACCACCTGCCATTTGTTACCAATATCAAACACCAACCTTCGAACACCATCTGCAATAAGTTGGACATTATAAAAAAATGTAACCACTTCTTGTAATGACATACTAGTAATAATTGAAAAAGCTAATGCAGCTAAAGAAATCTTCATTTGTTCTCTTTCCTTAAAAAAGTGTCAATAGTGACACTTTTATGGACCATGGAAACTAATCAATGTTACAAAAGTGTAACAATTTGTAACAATCCCACCAAACTACAGAAACCAAGCTCACGACATTCAATGTTGGTCATAAGAAGTTGGTACCCATGAACAAAATGAAAATGGCTAGGAGTATTTTAAAAATGTATGTGGTATCAAGAAATCAAATGAGAGGATAATAAACATTTGTACCCAAATCAGAGAGCTCCATAACTTTTCAAATCTAATTATTGAAATGTGAATAAGATAGTTTGAACATACAGGGTGTCCATATTAGTCTCTTTTAGCTTAATACAGACTTTGTATCATAATTGCAAAGACCAAGATGGCTTAGATGAGACATCCTGTATATTTATGGACCAGATAAGAATTAATCTGATGATGTAAGAACTAATCTTGACCAACACTTCTATCAGATTAGACACCTAGGTATCAACACATGGCTTCTGTTTATATATTATTGAGTAAATACAAGCTGTTAGATAACTGGATAAGGGATCACTAGTTTCTCTGGTCAAAGACAATGAACTATAGACTGGCCCTATATGCAGAAATGTAGATTTAACACCTCTCCCAGCTTAGACACCTAGGTAGCCACACATGGCTTCTCTTGACATATTTATAAATGATGTACTAAGTAAACACATCAGCTGTTAGAAGGTATTTCCTCACGAGACATCCTCACTACATCCTGAGGTCAATCTAATTTACTTTAAATGTTTTCAGTATTACATTCCTGGTTAGAGTTTAAAATACTTCACAAGTAATATTTTTATGGTGGAATCATGCTCAAACAGTTAGGTCCTAAAGTATATCTACTTTGCAAACACCATCCACATTTAACATGATTTACCCCATTTTCAGAGGGGGGGGGGTCATGCAAATCCCCTGGTCAACTTCTTTTCAAAGTCATGCAGTTTTTCACCTTCACCATTTTGAGCACTTGTGAAGTGATTTTGGACCATAATTATCAAAGCTGAATTCCCATTAATCTGTTACTGGTTACAGCCAACTGATTTTAGTATTTTCAGAAAAGGTTTGTTGATAATACAAATTACAGAATGTTAAGCCTGTTAACAATCACTAAATTAAAAATGGGGTATCTTAGAGACTGCACTCTTTATAATAGACTTACCCTGAATCATAAATCCATCAATGACTCTATGAAAGGTACTAGTCTCATACCCATATCCCTCGCTTTTGGTTGCCAAGGCGATGAAGTTCTTCACTGTCAGAGGTGCAGTTTCCCCAAATAGACCAATCACAATCCTTCCAAGATCTTCATCTCCTTGTTTGACATCAAAGAACACTTTGTTGGTGACAGTAACATCACCAGCCTAGAAACAGGTCAGAATTTGTTATATACAATTGTATGTTGCAAAGAACCAGTATGTTTCAGATGAATTCATGCTTTATCATCAAAATCCACATTTTCAATAATTTTCTGTTGATTGTTTAATTTAATTAGAATAAGATATATAAGACATCCTTATTTCAGTTTATTAACTAGTTTTTGACTAAAAATAACATGACTCTTGTCACCTGGATCCCTAATATAAATTGGTTTGTTGGTTGGTTGGTTGGTAAATTGGTTTATGTGGCATGTATTAGTGTTTACAAAATACATGAATGTGTGTGTATGTTTTTGCTCTCCATATACCATAATGAATTTGAATGTAATTAGGGCATCATTTTTGAATGTGCACATCCTCTCAAAACAATATAAATGAGTTTCATCTTAATATGAGACACGGACCATGAAAAATGAAAAGTAAAATATTGGATATCACGTCCTCATTTAGCCTGAGTTGCTGACCTGAATAACCCTTAGAGTTCAAATGCAATACCACGGCTAAAATGTAACCTTAGGCTCACTGCTGTAGTAGTGCAGTACTATGAACATCATATACATACACACACCAGCAATCCAGCTAAAACATACAGGGCTCAAGCAGTCCAGTATAATTGCTTTTTAAGAGGGCAAGCTAATATTTTTCTAGCCTATCTAGCCACAACTTGTTTTACATGAACCATGTACCAAGTTAGGGCTATTTATCTCCTTTGAGAATCATCATTACATCAACCTTATCTTTACAGACATGTATTTTGGCCTGTAATGATGACTAGATGCAATCAATTCTATATTTACATATTATACCAAAAATGTTTACAGGTAACACCCAGGCCATCCTGACATTATTTAATGAAAGCAAAATGATGGTATATAAATTATTGACTTTTGTATAGGTATTCTAGTAAAAACACTGCTTGGCATAGCAGTTGATTTATATGCTTTTTTAATGCTTGTCAAATCTAGTTTGATACTTCATGAAAATTACATTTATATTTTGTAGACCTAATTTTTGTTTATCCTTAATTTCAGGATCTAAGTGAAATAAGATAAGTAAAAGTATATTATGTTCTGGTCAATATCTGCATGATATAAAGTGTAGAGTTAATTCTATATATCTAGGTCCATGTATCGTTAGACCATCGATAGATTACTACATGTACTGTACTGTATAACATCACCACAATCAGATATGTTGAGCTAATATATTATGTAATATTTCCAGTAGCCAACTGAGTTCAAGACAGGGACTAACGCAAGATAGCGAATGTAATCTTAAATAATAGTATATTACACAGCAACTTACACAGACAAATCAGAAATAAATCAAAGTCCAAATCCAAAAATAAAAGTAGATCTAAAGTTTACAGCTCTCTGTAAGAAATATGTCACTGTTGCAACTTAATCTGGTGCATGCATGAATACTATTATGTGCAGTTATATTGATGAATAAAAAAGTTCTTGGAAAAATCAGACTTCCACGTGAACATCCACGTAGATGAAATCTGACACCCTGGGCCTAATCTATGCCACGTCTACAGCAGTCTACAGTTTTTCCTTGCTTTCAAACTTTTTGGAAAAGTGATATGTTCAAAAAGACCAAAATTCATGAACCGATTTTAATGATTCGCATATCAAACTGTACCAATGTCACTGCTTATCAATTTGCAATTGAAATTTAAAGTATTAAACCATATTTACCTGTGTTTTGTAGGCACAAAGTGCGAGCAGAGAGGAGACGATTAAAACTTGCATTCTGCTAGAGCGACCAATTTACGATAGTGAACGCTGAAGTCGTGATCTGACCTACTTATACTAATTGATTTTTGGCTTCTTATTCTATAAATCTCAATAATCAAGATTTGTAATCTGAAATATAAAACTAGCTTTCTGATTGGATATAACACTATATTGAAGAAGTCTGGTAAGATTATTGAACAGGAAGCCACTAATTGAATGTCGAAAAACTAACAAAAGTGAGTCTAGCCCAAACACGAGAATGGCGGAAATTTTGATGAGTGAAGCTGAAAGAACATTCATTTTACATGGCATACAGGTAATACTAAAGTAATCTTAGTAGCCCTTGAAATACATATTTTTCTACAATATGCCTTACCCTTGAAATATTAACTCGATGAATATAATCAATATCGATAAGTTTGTATTCTGCTTCCAATTTATTGACAACTTTGGATTTTTTTTATTTAGGATAATGTGAGGTCAGATGGACGAGGGTGTGAGGATTACAGACCTATAGAACTAGAAACAGAAGTAGTCTCAAATGCTAATGGATCAGCTAGAGTCAGATTAGTAAGACCAAGAACATTTAAAGACTTCTGCTATGATAGAGATAAACTTGATAAAAGTTCAGTACTGTCAACCCCTTAAGATTTTCTCGCGGGACAGATTTTTTAGACCCAGTGCCCAAAATTTGCGGGATTTTGCGGGACATTACTAAATTCGCGGGACATTTAAGGGATTTGCGTGATTGCGCTAATAGGCCAAATTTTTTTTTATCAAATTCGCGGGATTTCGCGGGACCATTCGAGGGACAAACACCCTAATTGAGGGATAGTTAACAGGTTTACCACCAAAAACTTGATAGAGGGACAGATTTTTTAGACAAAGTGCCCTAAATTTGCGGGATTTCGCGGGACATTCACCTAAATTTGCAGGATGTCCCGGGACAAAGCCCCAGAGTTTAAAGATGACAGACATAATCACCTCTCTTGCTTACCACCTTCGTTCGTTCGAATATTAATCGGCTAGTTATCAAATACTACACTTCGATGGGATGTTTTAATTGATATAGGCATATTCCGTACACCTTTCTTTATCTTGATGTGAAATGAGAAGCTATGATATTGGTTAACACGCCAGAAATGAACATAATATATTATTCGGAGCGTATTTCGAAAATTTTGAAACCACCATTGATGACGTCATTTGTTTGTCGACTTTTGACCAATCAGCGACGATGTCATCTCAATACAGATTTACATTATAAGCGTATGTCATCTTTGAACCCTGGTGGATTTGCGTGATTGGGACTAATGTAATTGTAAAAGCATGTAAAAGTACTTAAATCAAACTTCAAGATACTGATTAATCAAATACAATGCACCGTTGCATTGTAACTTAAATAAACGTCAACACAATTTCATAAAATACGTATACGAATATTATTAAACTTTATTGTAATTTTCCAAAAGCAAAAACCATGCTTCAGGTGTGAGTACCATAATCTAACACAAAATTCAAAAATTCGGAACAATACTTTGCACTTCTGGCGTCGTGAACAACTTTTCTAGATAGGGTTTGTAGAAAAAAACGGGTACCGGGTAGTAAATCCTCCGTGCTGGGTTCAAACTTGGTACCCGGTCGAAAAAACTGGGTACCCAAAAAACGAAATATACGAATATACAACATAATTAGATCATTAGAAAACGTGTAAGATTTGTTTTGAATTTACAAAAATGTATGTAACTTCCTTAGATTAGACACGGATAGTAAAAAGTCCAACGTTAGAACTATTTTTGACCTACATCCCTATTTTCGTAATTAAAATGAAAGTTGAACCCTTCCTCTTTATTTTGATACCAGACAACAGCATGCTTAAACTTTACTGCTCAAAAGTGCAAAAACCTAGCTTCTTATATAAGATAAGATAATCACAATATAGGGGATTGCAACAATTTCGGAAATTCGCAGAGGTCAAAACCACATTGCGGGACATTGCGGGACACACGAATTAGCCTAATTTTGATCAAATTCGCGGGATAATCCCGCCATTCGCGGGACACTTGACAGCTCTGAAAGTTCAAGAATATTTTTGTAATTTTTTAGTGTTTTTCACTCAAATTATGTAAGGCCATTGTCAGTAGATGTGTTTTAAATACTAGTTATTGTTGTATTCCATTGCATTCTCTATGGGAACATAGAAAAGGAATGTTTTTGCCACAATACGCCAAATCGCCAAACTTAGAAGGCTGTGGGAAGGTGTAAAATTAGGTGAATAATGTGGAAAAATTAATTTGACTCTTCACCCCTAAAGGAACATGGTTTCACCAAGGGAGCGCATCTTTTCTGAAAAGTGTTATCTATCTAGCAATTATCTCAGGGAACCATATGGGCCCTTGAATAACTCCCCCAATTGTATACGGATCGCCTTACACATTGATTGCAGATTCAGATTTTCTCTACATTACAGGCAAACTCTGATGTCTTAGTTGGGGTTAAAGGGGAGCTTGGTAAACCTTCACTAGATACACCTGAACACGGGAGGCTAGAGTTCTTTGTAGACTGGTAAGCTAATAACATAACTTTTACTCATATGTAATAGGTGCCCATTACATCAGTCTCTTAAATCATTATTGTTGTCATTCCAAATGTTAGATTGAGTATGGTAAATGTGAATCAGTTCATGAAATGTATGACACACAGCATTTAGCGACAATAACATACAGTGAAACCTGTACATCCTAACAACTCTCCTAAACAAACACCTGTCAATGTGAACACTTTCTCAGTTCCAAATTTATCTATAGCCTCATGTATTTAAAAAACCTTGAAATGTGAAAACCTGCTAATCTGAACACTTTTGGTCGGTTCCAGTGGCATTCATACAAGACAGGTTTTACTGTATGTTACTTTATTTTCTAGCTCAGCCAATGCTACACCAGACTTTGAAGGACGTGGGGGTGAGGATTTGGCCTTAGAGATCAGCAGCATGCTAGCCAGGGCCTATGATTGTCCCAGTTGTTTAGACACACAGGCTTTGGGCATTATCAAAAGAGAACAGTGCTGGGTGCTTTATGTTGATATTCTGGTAGGTGGATAAAAGTTTTTTAGAGGAAGTCCATGGCAGATTAAAACAAGGCATGCAAAATATCACTACCTGCCATTTGTTACTGACACTGACTGCCAAATGCTGGCTGCGGAACACTGCCCACAAAAAGTTGGAGATTATAACAATACTGTATATCACCAGTGCCTACATTGAAATGGGATTGAAAAAATCATTCACATTGAGCGGTGCTCAAATTAGAGAGGTGTTCGTATATATATACAGGGTGATCCAGAAGTAACGTCAAAGATGTTGTAATTTCAAAAGTATTCATCAGATCTTCATGAAATTTGGTATACATGTACCCACAACATTTCTGAGTTACCATCTCAAAGATTGGAATTCAATCATTTCATTGGTTGAAATTATGGTTGCTATAGTAACCCGATATCGCGTAACCCGGGGCAAATTACTTAACGTGTAATGCGTAATCTCAAAATATCAACAAGATCTGAAATTGTTATATCCTCAACATTTTATTTCACAACAATATAAATCATACTATTGCACAGTTACTAATAATAGTTCATTCTACATAATTGCCACCATTTGCAACACATTTCTCATGTCTGGATACCCATTCCTTTAACACAGAATTAAATCCATTAGAACTCATTCCTTGTAGGGCTAGTACTACGGCATTTTTCAATTCCTCACAGGATTGAAAATTATTTCCACTAAGGTTTCTTTTTAGTTCCCCATACAAATAAAAGTCACTGGGGGCAAGATCAGGTGAATAAGGGGCATGTTCAAGTTGTTGAAATCCAAGTGTTTGGACTGTGTTGCTGGTCAGGATTGCAGTGTGCGTAGGGGCATTGTCCCAATGCAAGATAAACTGCTGCAGATGTCCGGGACGCTTTTTCCTCAGGGAACGTTGAAGATCACGCTTCAGAACCTGAAAAACAAATGTTTAATGGTTGTTAAACCAGTTGTTTCATTGATTGGATTTGGATTTGAATCATGGCCATGGAGTTATAATTATATTGACAGTGAACAACATTTAAATACTTTAATTTAAAAATAAAATTCACAGTATGATGTATTATTAGAACAAATGATATCTTACCTTTGCAATGTAAACGGCATTAATTCTCTGGCCAATGGGAACAAAATGGGTTAACACCATTCCTCTAATGTCAAAGAATGTCACAACCATTTGTTTCTTTTGTGGAATTCCTGGTACTATTTTAGGCTTGGTTGGTGTTGGGGAGTTGTCATGTTTCCACGATGAACTTTGTTGCGTGGTCTCTGGGATGTAGAATGATAGCAATGATTCGTCACTCGTAATGATCTTGTTAAGAAAGTCATCTCCATCTCTCCGATATTTTGCAAGAAAGTCCCTTGAAGCCTTAACACGCCGGTCTTTCTGCTCCTGTGTCAAGTCATGCGGCACCCATTTAGCAGACACCTTCTTTAACAGACAGTTCTTTGTCAGTATCCGTTGCACAGTCCCATAGCTCAGATCGTGTTTTTCAGCCAATTCTCTGATAGAAATTTGCCTATTGTCCATAACATCAGCTTCAATTGCTTTGATGGTTTGATCATCGAATGACGACACTGGCCTGCCTCCTCGCTGCTTGTCTACCACTTCATCATATCCACTGGAATACTTGTTAAACCACCTGTAAATGTTTCTCTCAGCAATGGCAGCTTTACCATATGCCTTCTTTATCTGTCTTATAGTCTCTTTTACACCTTTCCCCAACTTTACACAGAACTTAATGTTTGTTCTTTGCTCTATTTTACTCTGACTTGGCGCCATCTTGAATTGGGTGGGTTAGTGTCCTTGGTCATGTTAGTATTTGTCATGGATGATGGAAGCAATTCAAAGAAATTGAAAGCTTTTTATGAATGCCTATTGTGACATCACAACTATTACATATTTGTTACCATGGCAACAAATATAAAAATCATAGAAAACAAACAATGAACATTTTCAAATGTTACTGACTTTTTAAATTAGAGAAATTCACAAAAACGTTATGGTTTCTCTTCAATTTGCCCCGGGTTACGCGATATCGGGTTACTACAGAGTGTCTCAAAAAAAATGTTACACTTACACAAAGTTCAATATCTTTCATAATTTTGAATTTTCCCCTAAATATACTTTGGATATCAAAAGACAAATCTTTCTCGAATAATTTGACACCATCAGATTCAAAATCTGTACTTGATTGACTCCACAGGACAGCTTTTAGTGTCCCATAGTAAAATCTGACTTGCGCCAACTTCTAAGTGATTGAATGGACCAAATGACAAAAGAGGAACAGTTTCTTTAACATTTAACTTTCTTCTGAGCAGAAGCTTGACCTTTAACTGAGTCATTCTGTAATTTTACTATTTCTTTACATATGGTCATTAGGTCTATCCACATAAACATGTGGTCCCCTCAACATGTTCAATGTGAAAGCAAATCTGAGGATCTGAGGTACCCTTGCCCATGCATTGTAATATCACACTGATTCCATCAATTATTTTTGTAGAAGTTCATTTAGGTTAGTTTGTGATGCTGTAAAGCGCTTTCAGAGGCCCTTCAAAAAATCAAGGGTGTAAAGTGGGATGACCCTGGTGGCCAATCAAATGGGTAATTGAATGCTATCTTCTGATTTCCAAACAGTTCTACCAAATGATCTGCCACAGGCCTTTGCACTATCATGTTGCCATCATATGTAACAAAATTGAACCTTTGACAATGAAATGTTGTATTCTATCCAGGAAAGAAACAACTGAATCATTGATCATATCAAGATATCACTGTTCACAGCATTCACACCAAAAAAGAATTTACCACCGCATGTCCAACCACTGAGAAGTTGGCGCAAATCAGATTTCACATGCGTCTATAAAATCAGTCCTGTGCAGCCAATCATGGACGGATTTTGAATCAGATGGTGTGGATTTATTCGAAAAAGGCTGGTCTGTTGGTATCTAAGTATATTTTAGGGGAAAAGTCAAAATCATGAAAGATATTGAACTCTTTGTAAGTGTAACATTTTTTTTGAGACACACTGTATAGCAACCATAATTTCAACCAATGAAATGATTGAATTCCAATCTTTGAGATGGTAACTCAGAAATGTTGTGGGTACATGTATACCAAATTTCATGAAGATCTGATGAATACTTTTGAAATTACAATGTCTTTGACGTTACTTCTGGATCACCCTGTATATATATTTAACTGTACTTCATATGGACAAACTGCACAAGCATCACACAATGTCTTTTGTCAATTTCCCCAAAAGGTGGTAATTTTGAATAAATGTTTGCAAATCATAGAAATATACTTTTATTTTAGTTCTGTATTTTCATGTGTTGTAGATCTTAGAATGTGGAGGAAACCTCTTTGATGCTGTTGCTATAGCAGTTAAAGCAGCACTTGGTAATACAAAGTAAGTTAACATTTTTGTTTCTTAATCTCAATTATGGTACAAATAATTCCGTATTTTGTGTCATTTAAAGAAATTCAAAATAGGGAATTAATCATCCCATGGCCCAGTGAGGTAACCATAAGGATAACTGTAGTTTTCTGGAAAATTTACAAAATTATCCATAATGGAAGATTAAGAGAAGAGCACATTTTTACATTTTGCTCTCTGTTAATTTGTCAATGAGATAATGCATTGGTTGTAGATTTAGTTAGTTAATTCCTGAACACCCAATCTCGAGGCTTATTCCAGTGCTGTTTATACATGTACAGGCCAGTAGCAAGGATTTGCCAAGGGGGGTTCAGTTTTCAAAATTTTTGGGGGGTTCACATTTGACAATTTTGGCCCAAATATGGCTAAGATCACTTGAGAAGTGCTCAAAACTCGAAAGTGAAAAACTGCATGATTTTGAAAGAATTTTTAACAAGGGGGTTTGAATCCTGCGAACCCCCCCCCCCCTGGCTACGGGCCTGCATGTATGTGCATAAGACAATTGGTAACACATAACTTTTTAAGATTCTTTTCTTCACTGATAGCAATTGAAATTGACAATAGTACACTCCATTTCAGTAAATTATACCATTTTTTTGTGATTTTTTCTATTTCATTATTCAGGGCAGAAATAGAATTAAATTATTGCTTGTTTTATAGGCTTCCAGTAATAACAGTTCGCAAAGACGAAAATGACGAGACTGAACTTGAAATATCAGATGACCCATATGATTGTGAAAGAATCAAGATACTTAATGCTCCCTGTATTGTTACCTTGAGTAAGGTATGTAGCCCTAACATTGTTCTCATATAATATTTTTCACATCTGTGAATATAAAGTCAGTTTACTATTGTATATGCGGTTTCCGGACAACTCGGACCCAGGACAACTCGGACCCAGGACAACTCGGACCCTTTACAACTCAGACCCAAGACATCTCGGACCCAAGACAAGTCGGACCTAAGACAACTCGGACCCAAGACAACTCGGACCACTTTTTAAAATAATGATTTTTATCATTGTTTTGGGTATTTTTTTGTTTTTGTTTTATGCTTACTATTAAATATATTATACATTGTGAATACATATTTTGTACTAATTTGTTTGATGAAAATGTTTTAATATGACTTATTTGATAAAGGTTAAGTAGAAGCTTGAAGCTAAAAACCCAAGATAACTCGGACCACTTTCTGAAATGATAGTTTCTGTTAGGTACCTTTTTGTTATCATAATATTGGATTAGTTGTTTTAATCTAGCATGACACATTTTAGATATATTGTGAATTCATATTTTGTGTTTACATGTATTTGATGAAGATATTTCAATTAACTTATTTGATGAGAGTTGGGAAGTAAGACCAGTAAGAGGATAATGAGTCTGAAGACCCAAGACAATTTGGACCACTTTTTGAAATTATAGTCATTGTCAATTTAGCAGTTTAAATCACTTGTGACATGTTTGTATGCTATATGAAAAAAAATCTTATTTTGTATTAAACCATATCAAACGCCAGGTGTACTACTTGTATAAAGAGGTGCCAATGAATCTTTGCGTACAGTTAATACCAACTCAAATGGAAAGTCACTAAGGAATTAACAACACTAATAATTTTAATCCTAATCTTCTTATCTCATTTCTACTCATTGATCACTGAAAGATCAATGTCACATTGAGATCAATGGAAAGTTTAAATTCTCTAAATCCTCAATTTTTTATCATTCAATCTTAATCTCACTGAAAGATTGATGCCATATTGAGATCAATGGAAGTGTTTGTATTCTGTAAATCCTAATTCTCAATATAGAACAAATTATTTTTCTCATGATCTCAATATTTTTTATTTGAATTTTCACCTGATAAACATAGTATTCATATTACTGATTTTGAAAAATATATTGTAATTGTCACGGGTTATTCATGGAGAACATCTTTGCTTTACTTGCTTAATTTCTAAATAGTAAATTACAAATAAGTAATGGTTGAAATTATTAAATCTGGTTGAAATAAGAAAATCTGGTTGAAATAACAAACAACAGAATTACAATAAATAGCAAATCTGGTTGAAATAAGTTAATCTGGGTTGAAATTACAACCAACAGAATTACAAAAAGAAACATTGATGTCAGGTTAACAGGAGGTAGCTTAATCCTTTTGATTTAATATCTAAGATAGATTTGAGATTTAAAAAAACTAATTATGTCATCAAGGTACCTTTCATGGTATATAAAGTCACATATTTTGTCATTCAAATCATATTGAATTATTATACACTGGAAGCAACACCTGTGAATATTTCAATAAATACATCAACCACTACCAAAGACCAGCAGCACAGTAGCAGAGACCAGCAGTACAGTAGCAGAGACCAGCAGCACAGTAGCAGAAACCAGCAGCACGGTAGCAGAGACCAGCAGTACAGTAGCAGAAACCAGCAGCACGGTAGCAGAGACCAGCAGGGTTAAGAGAAGAGTAAATTATATATTGGTACAGACGCAGCAATAATGCCACCAGTGCATCCCTGCCTTGGTAACTGTGGCAATACAGTGAGGCGAAGCCAACAGCATTTGATCTGCATATCATGCCAAGGATGGCAACACAGAGTGTGCAGTATCTTCACCCAAGCAGATTACAGAGCTGGTATAATCGCTTGGAGGTGTGCAGGATGCCCTGATGCCAACCTAGGAAATGCCCTGAATTCAACATCAGAAAGTTCTACATCAAATGTTGGACTTCCACAGGCCGAAAGTACTGCTATTAACATGACTGATACTGATGCTCCCCCACAACTAGACTACATGGAAGCTGAACCCATGGAACATGAAAGTATGGACATTGTGCCAAATATTTCACAACATATGAATGCCACATATGTGTGCCAAATGTGAATACGTCCTTTGAAGTAAACAGATCATTCGACATTCCTGAGCGCCACATTGAGGATACTATACAGGATGAGACGTTGCTAGATTCAGTTCCAGCACCAGTAAACCAACAAGTGACATTTGAGCTCCTACCTCAGCATTCCCAGCGTGGAAACAATCTCCTAGCAGACTCTAATGGCTATATGTATAGCATCAAGAGAGCTGGAAAGCGGAAATCAATGTGGAGATGTAAATCTAGAAGCAGAACAATGGGAGAATGCCCTATGACTGTCTCACAAGCTGGAACCTCATTTTCGTACACACAATACAACCACAACCATCAACCTAAGGAAGGACAAGTGCTACTTTCCAAGATATCTACATCCACTAAATTGCGGGCAACGGGAGAACTGTTTAAAGCAGCATCATGCCTTGTAGAAGATGTCATCCTCGATGAGATAAGAAGTGCTAATGATGGTACAACAGTAGCAGTCCCAAATCTGGTTCAAAATGCCAACAGGGTTCGGCAACGTCTACAACCGCAGGAACCTACAGATCTAAACTTTGATAATGACGACAACTTCATCCCAGAGGGCTTTCTTCAAGGAGATTTGCGCCTAGATGCATCAGTCTACCCTGATGTTGAAATACAGGGCTGTGTTTTTCACTGGACCCAGGCAGTGTGGCGGAAAGTCCAAGAGCTAGGACTGGTTGTGGCTTACAGAGAGGATGTCTCTGTGCACAGATTCATTCGTCAACTTCTTGCCCTTCCTTACCTACCATCTGAGCATATAGAAGAAGCCTTCTATGTACTAGCCGATCGCAGCTCTACGGCACTGTTACCTCTAGTGTCTTACATAGAGAAAACATGGATCACCAGCAGAATGTGGCCTCCTGCCGTATGGAAGGTGTTCAACCAGCCAACAATGATGTGGAGGGATACCACAGGCGGATCAATGGTAAGGCTGGGAGAGAGAAGCTGCCCTACTACCTCCTTGTTCCAGTCCTCTACAAGGAAGCCCAACTTGCGTTATTGCAGAAATGCCTAGTCAAAGATGGAAAGTTGCGACGCTACCAGAGAAGAGTCTACACCAACCTTCAAGGAAGAATAATGAAATACTGGGAGCAGTATGAAGAGGATTCCATAACAACATCCAAGCTTATCAGAAAGATCAGCAAACTTGTTAAAGTTTGAACCATCAGGACATTTGCAACTGTTGAACACTGAACTGCCTGAAATAACATTCTTGCACAGTTCTACTTGTAGATAATATTATTTGAATTGAGTCCAGATTAATATCCTTGCCAATTATGATTTATGTTCATCTTTATTTTTCTGTATTCTATAAAACATAAATGTATGTAAAACACTAATGTAATTTTGAATGTAAATAAATAAAATACTGCTTCAAATAAATATTTTGTTCAATTATCTTAGTGCTTTAGTTTAGCTTTATTTTTAAGACCTACAAGCCATGATCATTCAGATCTTTTCAATTTTTTATCAATGAATTCCCCTACTGTACCATAACCAAGATTTATTTAAAACAACATACCTACTTGACATTATTTTTATGTAAAATCTCTTATGAAATGTGATTTGCAATATATGGCAAACTAAGGTTACCCATACTAAACATAAAACAAAAAATTAAAAACCATATAATGATAAAAATCATCATTTCAAAAAGTGGTCCGAGTTGTCTTGGGTTTTTAGATTCAATATTTTTTTTCATCAAATAAGTTAAACAACTTTATCAAATTAATATAATATTGTGTAATACTAAATATAAAACAAACAATTAAAACCCCATTTAATAATATAAAAATCATAATTCCATAATAATAATAATGATATAAAAATCATAATTTAAAAAAGTGGTCTAAGTTGTCTTGGGGGTTCTTTAGATTCACATTTTCTTCTTAATCTCACCAATTAAGTTGATTTAAAACAATTACATCAAATAAACACAATATTTGAATTCACAATATGTATATATGTCACACTAAACATAAAAAAATAAAATAAAAAACAATATAATGATAATAAAAATGGTACCATAAAAATCATAATTTCAAAACGTGGTCCGAGTTGTCTTGGGTCTTTAGATTAAATATTTTCTTCTTAACTCCCATCAAATAAGTTTATTAAAAACAATTTCATCAAATTAACATAATATATCAAATCAGAATATATAATATATGCCATCTAAACATAAAACAAAAAATTAAAACCCCATATGATGATATTAATATCATTATTTTAAAAAGTGGTCCGAGTTGTCTTGGGTCCGAGTTGTCTTGGGTTCGAGATGTCTTGGGTCCGACTTGTCCTGGGTCCGAGTTGTCCTGGGTCCGAGTTGTCTGGTTACCGTATATGCACATATACTGTAACCTCTGAGGATTGAAAGAGAAATTAGTAACATTATTACAACTAATTTGTTTCTTTGTTTTCTTTAATATATCCAGTCAAGGATTAAAAATGATAGCCTGAAAGAATCATATATCATATTTATCCTATGAATTTCTGAAGTGAGTCTCACCCTTCTACAAAACCAAATGATTTTATGTACATGGTCTCATCATTTTAATTAGAATGTAAACTATAAGGTAACAATTATTGTTGATTCCATTATATATTTTTGTTTTTGATTCTGAAGAATCGAACCTAAGTTCAACACAAATGTTAAATTGATTAACCTTGTTGAATTTTCATTGTATGATAATAAATGTTATAATATATATGAACTTGAAATAAAAATGATTAATAAAAAAAAAATTCTAAAGAGATATAGTGTAGGGTGCACAACTCACGACATCTTTGACCACTCAGTTCAACTCAAACAGGTTATTTCATATGTGAACAGGTTGCAATATAAGCACTCCCCAGAGGCTAGAGTAAAGTCGAGCTTGTCAGCATGTGTTTGAAAATAACATAAAAACTGGCCTGTAATTAGTTTTTACCCATTGGTCAAAAGTCCTAATATGACACACCCTGTATACTGTAGTAAGCAAAATTGTTTATTTATCACTAAGTCAATACAATTATACTTATTTCATATAACTGTGGTGTCTTTTTAGGTAGGGAACCAACATATTGTTGATGCTTCACTCCAGGAGGAAAGTTGCTGCCTCTCAAGGTAATATAGACAATCATAAGGGAGATTAAGTTACATGTGTTTAAGAGAACTTGTACATTAAGGGGAGGCATGTTCGATGTTCGAGTTCGATGTCCAATCGGAAACTAAATATAAATCTAGTTTGGACTCTGACCCTCCACCCTCCCCCAAAAACTAAACACCATGAAAGTTGATCGCTGACTTCCGGGGTGAGAATTTGAAAAATTATTGATAAGTACGATCTAGTTTTTGTTAATTCCTATCGTAATTTGCAGCTTTTAACAACTATTGATAGAATAGAATCCATTGGAATGATCTTGACGAAGAAAGCATCAGGTAAAATCGTTATTTTTAAACCATTCCAAGGCATTCTGAGTCAAAATTGCCAAAAATTTGAAATGTTGAAATCTGTTGGATAGAAAACTGAAATGGGTTTGAACCCCCTCCCCCTAACTAGATTTATTTAGTTTCCTATCCGACATCAAACTTTTGATGCCTCCCCTAATGTCTAATATTATTACCCCAATGGATTACTGTCCCCCTCAAATTGTTTTCTCAGGGACCTTTTACAACTATTATACGTTATACCTTCATATTCAATTGGGAGATACATACCACTGGAGAACTGAGGAACTATAGTTTTACATGTTCAAGTACAAGTTCCCTCTATAGCGTGTAGCTTGACCACTCTATTGTTTAACATTCTACTTGTATATCTGTAGATTTGTATTATCCACATCTTAAAGCCCTCCTCACATATGAACAAATCTACTAAACGCAGTGGGCTTTCGTTCATATTTGAAGAGGCCTTAACTCTGTAAATGTACACATGTATGTGTATAATAAGTTAAGGAAGGTCTCATAATTACGTTTTTGTGTTAGCTTCAAAATTTTGACAAAAAGTTCTTTTTTTATTTATTTGTTATTTCCTTCATACATAACATTAAAGCAATGATTTCTGTCAAGAGCTTTGTAAGTACAAAGTCAATGGGACGTTTCATGGTTGAACATTTTGTTAATCTCTTGAAAGCCCATGTATACATGTAGAGCTACCAAATGCTGCTTGAAAGAAACTGAAAAAGTTTCCCTTTGGAAATGATTCACTGGCCACGAGGATACAATACAGTATTGTTAACTGAATTCATGAGAAATTGAATTCTAAAGGTTCATGAATCTTTGCTTCCAGACTGATGGTAGCTGTTACTGAAAATGGTACAATTACAGCCTCCAAGACCTCTGGCTCAGGCAGCCTTAACCCAGAAAGTATAATTGATATGCTTGAATCTGGCAAGAGGGCAGGAACATTATTAAACAAGACATTGCATGCTAAACTCTTAGAGGAAGAAGTCAAAGTAGGAACAAAGAAAAAGACAATGGGATTCTTAACATAGATTTATTCATTTAAAGAAATATACTCATAGTTTTATATTATATATTATTTGTATTTTGTTGATCTTTTTCAAATAAATTAAGTGGTTTTAATGAATGGAGAATATTAAAGTCATGTATTTGATCAATTGTGTTTCAGAATGCTGGGTAAAAAGTGGCCATTTTGAGTTTTGTTTTGTTCAGAAGTCTTGTATGAAATTCTTACCTGCAGGTTATGCCCATTTTAAGAGATGCTCATCAAGTTTTTAGGCATATGACATCCATTTTAAATTTTAAATTTTTCAAAACTCAAACCAACTTATTAGTGTATTTATGCTAAATTACAATTGTACATGTCACTTTTTTCAAAACCTAGAATTTCAAAGTTCTTTCAACGCCTAACTGGAAATACAGTCACAGCCCATAAGATTGCTGCATGGGCCTTCTACATGTTCAAGAGACTCTTCAAAGTCCATGATTGCTAGAAATATTGCCATCATTACATGGGTTACATACATGTATTTCATTAAATATGATTTTTTCAGTGATCACAGGTCTCTTATGATGTAGGCTGCTATAATATCAATCAATGCATCATCCAATCCAAACGTATAATGTGTGCCATCCCAAGATACAAGATTCTTCACCAATTCAGTTGGATCAAGAAATGATATTTTCCTTTCTTTAGTAAATGTACGAAAGTATTTAGCAAATTCTATTGATTTCTCTTTGGTTTGCCCCGTCCACCTCGGTGATTTCCGTATTCCAGGGATATAAGGAGTCATATAGATTATGTGTGTTTCACCCAAAGCGTTGGTCTCTTGTAGCAGTTGGTCAAGGTAGACTGATACTATTTGTGTGTTCAGATCAGTCCACAGACCAATGTCTGTTAGCACCAGCATTTGACCTAGAGTGTCCTTCTTCATTTCTTTCAAAGCAGTTTGCATTGCATCTTTTGTAGAACCTTGATAAAAATAGCATATGATATATGACATGTACAAGGTGAGCCAAAAACAACAATACACAATAAAATGAAAATGTCCACACAATGATGATAATCCACACACTACTAAATAGTTATAATTAATAATAATAATACATAATTAATGACTTTATCAACATTTCTCTGATGCGTTGGCCCATTCATTTGACGATTTACCCAAGATCGTAGCAAGGCATTTGTTTATGATTCGCTTTACCAGTTTGCTACATTTGACATAAATGCCTTCTTTGGCAATGACTTGTTCCGGAGCGACAAACGACATACCTAGTTCTACATGAATTTGACTCTTGAACAAGAACTTGATTTGATTGCAAATTTGTACAGAGCTCCCTACATTGGTCCTATTCTTACAGGCGTCGTCTCTCCAATCTTTAACATGATCATCTGAGCGACAACCCTGCGTGTCTTCTGAAATGAAAATGAATTTGGGTTTTCGGATTTTATAAAAAGACCGACCAAGGCCGGTAAAAGTCCTGTGAGGTCCGACATAAAAATCCTGTCAAGACCGGTGTAAAAGAAATTATGGTCGCCTGGGGATTATGGTCCCCTGTCCTTACGGCCCTTCCTGTAAACTCGATATTATTTCCCAAGACGTCTTGAAAATGGTAATGTAAACTCAACTTAATTTTTCTAAAACGTTTTAGCCAAAACGTCTTGGAATGCTGCGCGTAGTGTAAATTGGGCTACTAAGGTTCAGCTGGAAAGTAACATTTTGGTAAAAAATTGCTATACCTGCACATGTTATTTTCTGGTACAAAATTAAGTATGAAGGCATGTGTGTATTTCTTTGCTTTTTTCAGGAAAGTATCATTACACTGTCTACTTTTAGTAAACCTGGAAACAGGCCAATGGTAGCTCCTGTGTTGTCTGGAAACTTTGAAAGAAAATTTGGAAAAATAGAAAGTGTGAAAATCAGAATTTCCAGGAGTTCCCATTGAACTCCTACTAGATATTCTTAGAGAAGACAATGTAATGATACTTTCCTGAAAAAAGCAAGGCAATTGACACATGTCTTCATACTTTATTTTGTACCAGAAAATAACATGTGCTGGTATAGCAATTTTTTACCAAAATGTTACTTTCCAGCTGTACCTTAAGTAATTAATAAAACGTGCATGGAATTCCATGCGCCGCTATAGGCCACCATTATATTTTTTGCATTAAGGGCCGAATAGGCACGGATGTTAAACCTAGAGCGGGCCACAAGAAATGTTAGATAAGAAATAAGTCCCAGACTAGTTTTAACTTGTTGAACTACTGCCTCACCTGCTTTATGCCTGGCTACGCCAGTGACAGTTACACGTACCTGCTTTAGTTTCGTTAGCCACTCGTCTCCGGAAATTGTGATAAAAATTTCTGATCAACGAATCTCCTAATATAATCATTGACGACACATTCAAATATCGGAGACCAGTGCATATATCTTTACCAGATATATTCTTGCGCATATGAGCACGATATGGTGTCCAATCGTAGAATTCCGGATGTATCCGTGGTCTCTCGTCAAAACAAGTTGGACACGTGCAGTTTGCGACTGGGATATCCTGACATGTGTTTTCCTTGCAACACGCCTTTTTGTCTACCGAATTACACAGTGTTCTGTAACTGCCAGTTTCATGACTACATTTGGTATCATTACTATATTCCATGTTATTAAAGTCTCTTGCGCGTTTTACTCTGTCAATTACATATTTCTTATATTCATCAGTGACGTATTTGGGCTTCCAATAGCCTTTGGTTAATTCATCTAACAGCATTTGGTTTAAAAATGTATGGTTGCCTTCATTGTTTCCTTCGTTTCTTAGAGCAACTATAGACTGTAATACTGCATTCATTTTTGGATAAGTTACGACGAGCTTTGTACTGAATGTATTGTAAACTCCCACGTACAGGCTTATTAATAAAATCGAAACTACAGTTAATACTCGTGTTTTGTTCTGCATATTCATTGATGAATTCGTTTTCATTGCCTTCACCCCACTTCCAGCATTGGTAAATTCTAGAGTCAACCACGATGTTCATGAGTAACGAGAGAGGACTCGGGATTGTCTCGTGTATATCTTTGGCAATTGTATTTACGATAGGTAATATCACTACAGCCCTTCTGATGTGATTTTTTACCATCCATTTCCCAGGTAGTAAGTGATATGAAATACTTGGCACATGCAACGTAAAATGTTTTATGTTATAGAGAAAGCATGAGTGAGAGTTGATTCTTTGAAAATAAGGGTGAGGCGTCAGCAGAACCGTTAATTTCAAAGAATTAACTCTCACGAATGTTTTCTCTAACTTGAAACCCTTACACTGTCACCTTTGCAAGCTAAACGGTAATCTTTAGTAACCTACACGCTCTAGTAATAGCCAATTTTCAATGAACTATAGTAAGCGTAGTGAGTGCACTGACCCGTGATCATTTGGATGGATTAGTATTGGATTTGCATGTATTGCAGTAGCCTCGTTTTGAGTTCAATGGCCGCTTTTTAAATTTCTCTGAAAAAGTATCCCTTTTATCATCAAATTAACTGCTCCCCTCTAGTGCTATTTATATAAAACATCTGAAAGAAGTACCTGGAAGGATGTTGGAAAAGAACCAAGCAGAGCAGGAACAAGTAGGTGACGGAAACAGACCGGAAAACAACTCACCAGATGACCCAGATTCTAAAAAGAAAAAAAAATTACAAGATATTCTTGCAAGAAACACAAGCCCAAAGTCAGACAGAAATGACGGTAAGACAAACACTTCATTACCAATCCCAGGCCAAGATATTTCCACACAAAATAAAGAAAATCCAACCGACTCATGGTTGTGCCACGACTGCAAAAAAACACAAAGGGACCTCCATGGCTGCAGTTGCTGTGAAAATTGGTATTGTGTAAAATGTCAAAGGATTCTAAGTGTAAAGGAAGCAAACTTCTTAAAAGCTTCAAAATCAGAAGCTGTCCACTGGTACTGTAGCTCATGTTACCCCAAAATAAATCGCCTGATTGTCAATGTTAACCAATCTCATGATACTTGCAGCAGCAGCACACAGAACCTGGATCCAATCCCATTAGTCGATAAGGTCAGCAAGCAACTTGAATCTCACATGAAAACGATGATACAAAACACATCAGAGTTCCTAGCCGACCACACCAGACAAATGCTCCAAAGTAGTGAAGACACATCCGAAAAACTCCTTCTCAATATAGACAGGAAATTAGATGGCCTACAAAAAGATCTCGCAGAATTCGCCAAAACAAGGAATGATAACATGCAACCAAGGCCAATCAACCAAAGTTTAAACAATCAAATAACCTCTCTAGTAACTAACACAGATAGAGAGAAGAAAGTGCAATGTTATAATACACAATATAAAGGAAGTGCAAGATCCTAATTACAGAAATAGACAAAACCATGACCAAGAGAAAGTCGAGGAAATTCTAAATGGACTGGAAATTGACGCCAGTATTGTAAAAACAGCAAGACTCGGTAAAAGACCAGAGGACAGGAACAGAAGTAGGCTAACACTAGTAACAATGGGATCTGAAGATCAACAGATACAAATTATCTCTAAAGCCAGAAACCTTAGAAGAGACCAAAGATGGGACAATATCTACATTCATCCTGATCAGACACCACAAGAAAGAGAGAAAGCAAAACAACTTAGGGATGAACTGAGATACAGGACAAATGAGGGGGAAACAAATATTATGATTAAAGGTGGCAAGATAGTACAAATCCCAGAAAACCAAGACCAAGGAAGAAATGTACAACCAAACATCACCCCCAGCTGTAGTCAGACCCAAAGAATATAAAAACTGTCCACCACAAGTATCTAAATGTAATTATTAACTTGGAAAAAGACTATGACAGTGATATATCTGTACAAATGGAAACGCCTAACTCTACATGTACCTCTAGATCCAACAAAGGAAAAACTTGGTCACCACTTGGCCACGACATCATGATCGATGCATATGGGCTCTCACAGGCTGCCGGAGGCACTGATGAAGAGTGACGATCACAATCAATCAGTAAAAACAAAAAGACAATTTATAACTCAGATTTAAAGGTGATGTATACTAATGCAGATCAACTAACTAACAAAATGCTAGAACTCAAAATCCCCATCGAAATATTGAAACCAGATATAATTATAATCACAGAAGTTCTACCAAAGTACACGTATAGGTTTGACGAGATGAACCAAGCAGAATTAAAAATTGACAATTTCATCACCTTTACAAATTTTGACTGTGAACAGGCAGGGAAACGAGGAATAGCAGTTTTTATCCACGAGAATCTAAATGTAACTGAATTAAGCTTAAATTCTGACTTTAGTGATATTGTATCATTGAAAATAACTATGAAAAACAATGTAGTGATCCTGAGCTGTATTAACAGAAGTCCAAACCAGAGTGAAGGAAACCATGAAGACCTGTGCTCCCTTATCCAATCACTAAGTAGAGAAAAGGCCACGCACTTATGTATCCTAGGAGACTTCAACCACCCCGAGATAAACTGGGATAACTGGAGCACCTCGAGAAACAGTGATCACATGAGCTATAAATTAATCTCCACACTTCATACTTCAAAACAATTTTCTACACCAGCACGTAACTAAGCCAACAAGACATAGGATAGGACAGAAAGAAAACATTCTTGATTTAGTAATAACCAAAGGAGAAGACACAATAAGTGACATTGAGTACTTAGCACCATTGGGTAAAAGCGACCATCTTGTCCTGTGTTTCAACATAAACATGACAGCACGAGACGGAATAAATAAAATAAGTCAAAACAGCCAAAAACCGAACTACAATAAAGCAGACTATAACACCATGAGACAGGATCTTAGTAAAATAGCCTGGAATGATGAATTCAAAGGACAAACTCCAAGCGAGATGTGGACCACCTTTAAAAATGCACTAAATAAAGTCAGAGAAAAATGTACCAAAATGTAACATCAGGAATGATAGACGCCGCAAGACCTGGATGAACAGTAAAGCCATAAGACAACAGAGGAGGAAATATAAATATTGGCAGAGATATCTAGAATCCAAAGATGGCGAGGATTATATTAAATATAAGCAAGAAAGCAACAAATCCAAAACTCTCTGCCGTAAACTAAGAAAGGAATTCGAATTGGACATAGCAAAAAACATTAAAACCAACCAGAAGCCTTTTTGGGCCTTCGTCAATAGTACCAGTAAGATTAGGTCAAAGGTTGGCCCCATTGATACTCAAGACGGGAATATAATAGACAACGATAGCGACAAGGCAAACATTTAAATGGCTATTTCGCAAGTGTATTTACAGATGAAATGATAAACTATCTCCCAGAGTTCCCAGATAGAACCCAAAACGGAAGCCAGCTTAATACAATTGATATAAATCCATCCCTGATTGTGAAAAAGCTGAAAAAGTTGAAACCTCAAAAATCCCCAGGCCCGGATTTAATTCACCCCCAGGTATTAAGAGAAACAGCAAATGAAATATGTACTCCTCTATCAACCATATTCAACGCCTCTCTCAAGAAAGGTGATGTCCCAGCCGACTGGAAGGAAGCAGAGGTTGTACCTATACACAAGAAGGGGAAACGATCGTCCCAGCAAACTATCGCCCAATTAGTCTGACATCAGTTATCTGCAAAATTATGGAATCCCTGATCAGAGACAGCATGATGGAATACCTAATCAGTAACAATCTTTTGACAGATAGCCAGCATGGCTTTGTCCCAGGGAAGTCATGCATCACTCAACTATTACAAGTAATGGAGGACTGGACCCAAATTCTGGAAGAAGGGGACCCCTTAGATGCAATATATTTCGACTTCAGTAATGCGTTCGGAGCCGTCCCGCACCAGCGCCTGTTAAACAAGATTAACGGCTATGGAATAAAGGGAGACCTCTTTAACTGGATATAGGCATATCTCCTTGGAAGAAGGCAGAGAGTTAAAATCAACAATAGCTTCTCAACATGGTCGTATGTCACGTCTGGAATCCCTCAAGGAACTTGCCTCGGACCGATCTTATTCATAATGTACATTAATGATATGCCTGACAAGATAAACAGTAATATAAAAATCTTCGCTGATGATACAAAGATCTATGGACCCGTGAAGAACATTGATGGAAGGAGAAATATTCAACATGATATAGATACCCTTGTGGAATGGTTAGAAAAATGGCAACTGAAATTTAATCCATCAAAATGTTCAACAATGCACCTTGGAAATAAAAACCCAAAGGAAAACTACACAATGAACAATAACAACATCAAAGCTACAAAATTAGAGAAAGACCTTGGGGTGCACATGGACCCAGAGTTAAAATTTCATAAACATGTAAATAAATGCACCAGTAAAGCAAATCAAGTATTGGGAATCATCAATAGAACTTTTACCAGCCTAGACGAAACAACTCTCCCATTACTGTATAAAACTATGGTAAGACCCCATCTTGAATATGGAAATTCAGTATGGCACCCAAGATACCAAATGGACATTAACAAAGTGGAAGACGTCCAAAGGAGAGCAACTAAATTGGTTCCAACTTTGAAACATCTCCCCTATCATGAGAGGCTCCAGAGGCTCAAATTATATTCCCTGAGTTGTAAGAGGAAACGGGGAGATATGATAGAAGTATACAAGATAATGAATGGAATCTACAATTTGAAAATAGACCAGTTCTTCAAAAAGTCAACATTAACAACAAGAGGACATACCCACAAAATAAGAAAACCACAGACTAGACTGGAACTAAGAAAGAATGCCTTCAGTACCAGGATTGTAGACAACTAGAACTCTCTACCCCAGGATGTTATTGATGCCCCCTCAGTTTCCCGCTTCAAGACCCTCTTAGACAGGACGTGGCACTCAGATATATACAATAGTCACTAGTGAGCAATAGCACTTTCCCTATCCTATTCAGTTAAATAAATTGATACAGATGGGAGAACATTACAGGCTGAAGCCTCCAAATCCTCCTAAACCTAATGATGATGATGATGATGATGTATGTACAGTT